TTACGCCAAACAGTCTTTAAGTTGAATGAAAGACTTCTCATAATTTAGGCGTCTCTTATAGCAAAAAGCGAAAAGTGGATACGTGTACTCCTGTCTATGTACTAAAGGTTTTTTTGTAATGCTGATAGTATATAATTCCTCTGCAAGAGCCTTGGTTACATAGTCAATACGGTCTTTGCATCAATTCAAAGTACTCCTCAGGTTCAGTGAAGTTTTGTCAATGAATCTGTGGTGACAGTGATAGCCTAGCCACATTATTCGATGGTATATGTTTACTGATGCATACTTCAGTTTCTTTCATGACAACATTGACTTTGTTACCTGAAATGATATCTCAGAAGGATATACATATATATGTGTATCGGTCAACTCACATTGTGGCGCTTTGAGGTAGTCACTCTTTATTATCTGGTTTCCTGATGTATTCTTGGAATTTGTTACTTCATACTTCAATATTTGAAAGGTAATAGAGAAAATATTATAAGAGGAACGCTTGTGTGTCAGCATGGTAACTCAAAAAGGTTAAAGTTCATCAAATTGAAAACTTGCTTATTGAGTTGAGCTCACTTATGTGTATGACTCATCAGTGTAATGAAAGTAATACAGTTACCTAGGCGGTGAAAGATTGACTACACTCTCTGTCTCTGTCTGTGTGCATAAGTTTGGTCTGAAACGTTTGATTGCAACCACTTCAGCAGTAAATCGTAGTAGATTCGCTATCCATTGTATGTTTAATGTTTTAAAGGATTTGGAAATCTCGACAAAAGGACTCGTATCCACAGGGTGTGTCTGGTAATTGCACTTTGTTAATATCTGCTTCCTTTGAAGCATAAGCTTCTTGGAATATGCTCTGAAAACTGGATAGAAGCCTTTCTTTCTGTCCTTCCAATGTACTTGCTGTCGCAGGTGCACGTAAATTTATAAATGCAGTTGGAGGTAACATCAGCAGGGTAATTATCTAGTTTTGATTGGCTTATAGAGCATGTAGTGCTGTATAGTGTCACCAGCTTAGCTGCAGGTGGGGAGCATCTCTTTATTGCTGCTTTCATCCTCTTTTCAATCTTTCGCAATACTGTTTCTCCTTTGTATGGGAGGCGAATGAACGCTTTCTTCTTTTCAACTGTTGGATACTTCGCCTTCTCATCATTTTCTTTGCTGTAATTTAGGATAAGTCCCTTTGGATGCCCTTTCTCCTTACGGCATTTTTTATCAAGGGAATTTATCCAGGGAACCAAATGTATGAAATGAAACAAGTCTCTCTGATTAATTTGAAACGGCTGTGTTTATGTGTGTCTGTGTGTCCGTTGTGATAGGCATTTGCTAAGTCAGTGATAGTCATCGAGCACTCTCGTATGAATGTTTCACAGTGCTCCCCAGAGTTCCTCAATGTCGTACAAAGGGACTTTGAATACGCCATCTGTACATAGCTGAATCATTGGCTAATCGGGATCTAAAAGACCGGACCTATCCATTCCAAAGCATTACATACATTCACTCGCCCCATCGTTATAAGAGAAAACTTCTTACTATACTTTCGCTTCTTTTTGTTATGTAAGTTTACTATTATTATTGTTATTACTACTGTTATTTTATTATCATTATTATTCCGATCATCCATATTTTATCATCACTCTATTACTGTTTCTTAATGATATTACGTATTCATAAAGATTTTCTGTAAAAACATTCTATCGTCTTTCCACTAGTTCCTGTTCATTATACACGAGCTTATTGATAAGTCATTATCTCACACTTTTTACGTCATGCCAACTTCTATCCCCTTTTCTCATCTCCAATTAGTCATCCCGTCTAGGTTACACCTTACATTATGTAATACATTTTTCGAGGACTAATTTCACCAGTATCCGATTGGTCTAAAGATATCTTTGATAAGTAAAAATAATCAGTTATTGGTTTTGTAGGGAATTAGTTTGGTTGGTTGGAGAATTTCATCATGGGCTGACATCAATTAGATAACCACTGGAAAACCTGGAAGTGTTGGACAGCTGGGACTCTTCACAGTACGCAACCACCGCCAGGTTTCGAACCAAGGACCTTTAGTTACAAGGCGAGCTAGCTCGTAGTCCATTGAGTCCATTGGTTCTCTAACTAATATAATTACGATTGTACAGCAGCTTATGAAAATGAATCGTCGAAAAGGGAAAATTTTCTTCGCTGTTTACGCCTTTTTCTTTATGACTAAATCTGGGAATATTTCATTCACCAATGACAGTTGGATGATAGAATTCTCCACATTTTTAGAAAATGGATCCAAGTTCAATCAATTCCTGGTTGCAGTACTCCTAAACCACGCTTATTTTACTAGCCGACAGTAGTCTGGGAAAGGATGAAAGGAAAGCTAGCTGTCAGACTTGAAGTAGCTTCAAGAAAGCTTAGAGATATTTGAAACTCTAAGGAAATTTTTAAAAGGTGCTGAGTCAACTTTCTATTGGTTGTTTGTCAAGGACGCGTTCTCCCAATAAAAAGGGTTGATTTTTTGATGTAGTTTATGAGAACATTATAATAAAGGTTTTTGTATTTCCCAATGAATGAAAAACAAAACGGTATTTTCCGGTTCACTGACGTTTCGCTATTCATTAATGCTGGTAATGGCTTTCTCAAAGTACTATTAAAACAGAGTTTACAAAATCCACTCAACTTATATATGACAACTTAATCATCGTTCCTCAGAATGGGGCAATTTTGCGTCGGGTTCACCAGTTTCCCCAATAGTCGCTGATCTTTTCATGAATAGATTCGAAGATAACATCTTTTCAAGCATACTCACTCCTAAAATATGGTTAAGATATGTAGATGATACTTTTGTAGTGCTGAAATGAGATCTACACAGTTCATTCTTGGAGAAAATAAACAATCTATCTCCCAGAATTCAGTTTATTTCAGAAGCACAATCAGACGTCGGTGAACTACCATTTCTAGTCTGCCTGGCTAGTTGAGATGAGGGAAAACGGACATTTTAGTATATCTATATTCAGTCGGAAATCTCACTCCAATAAATATTTAGACTTCGGATTATCGATCAAACTCCACCACCGCTAAGGTATCAGTTGTTTCAAGTCTTCTTAGACGAGAACACTCTTTGATGATTATGGATGAGAAAGAAAAAGAAGAAATATCAAACATTACTGAGACCCCCAAACATAACAACTACCCAACGAACTTCATCAACAAAATCAACACTGACATTAAGTATGGTCGAAAAAGTGTTCCGAAAACATGGTCATCAACAGTTGTCATTCCATATAGATCAGAGACGTCAGACGATATCAGAAAAGTACTCAATAAGCTCGACATCAGAGTTTTATTCAAAGCATCAGACATGCACTCTACCAACAACCTTGAACATATAAAAGACCAAATCCCTAAGGATTCTCCGCCTAATTGTGTCTAAAAATAAAATGTTTGGATTGTGATGCGATATACATCGGACAAACCTCACCAGAGAGAAATCAAAATCAAAAGAAATGAACACCGTGGATCCGCATCTGTTCGACCACTCAGAAATCTATTTGAAATAGGAAAGATTGAAAAATCATCAGCCATAGCTCGTCTATACGCTATAGAATCAGGCCACAAAATTGATTATGACAATATTGAAATAATCCAGAAAAATTTCAGAAATCAAAAAGGTCTAATATCAGAAGCACTTCATATCAAATGGAATCCAAATTGTCTGAGCTGAATAGGAATGATGCACTAAACTAGAATTTGACCTGTTCACAAAGTCGACATGAATGTGATAAGCAATTTCATTATGTAAACACACGCTGCTTTTATAATTTTACACACTTATCAAATCCAACAATCTACACCTGGTTTTTTTTATTATCTTTACCAATTGGCCAACTTGAAAACAGAAAAATGACCCCATGCTGATGGACGATGATTAAGTTGTTATTATATAAGCTGAGTGGATTTTGTAAATTCTGGTTTAATATTACTACTTTGATAAAGCTATTAGCAGCAGCATTAATGGATAGCAAAATGTCAGTAAACCAAACGACAATATCGATTTGTTTTTTATTCATTGGGAAATATAAAAAAAAACCTTTATTATATAATGAATATCACATATACCCACTGTCCAAATTTTTATATCAAACTGTTAAAAGTGAACTTGGTTTGAACATTATATAACTTAGTGAAAATACTTTCCCTAAAGGATTAAATAAACAAAAATAATAAGTTTTCATTTTCAATTATTTATTTATTTATTATTTTTCCATGGTTATTCTCTTCTTCGCACAATAAAAGCAGAAGAAGAAGAAGCAGGAGGACATCAACAGCAAACTAGGATTGTGGAATGCATAATATTAATAGTAATAATAGTCGTAATTAAAATAATAATAATATGTACACATGAAATACAACGGGACGGGGGTAGCAAGCAGTTTATTATTATCTTGTTATTATTATTATTTATGATCATTATTTAATTGAATCAGTTATAAAAATCAATACTCAATATGAGTTCTTCATTGAGTTTTAAAAGAAAAGATAGGAACCAGGAAAGAATGCTCAATCATCCAATCAATAAGGCTGAGTTTGTGTACCACTAATCAATGTGATTCATTCATTCTTAAGGAACTGCAGCTGTTTCTGATTCAAAAAGAAAGTAGCGGAATGTTTGATTTGAGAAGGGGAGGGAGGGAGCTGGAGAGAGACAGCCGGGGGCGGGAGACAGATAGGGTGCTTGATTTGCAAGGACATGGTTGTATATATGTGTACATTTTCTCACCAATGAAATCAGTATTATTATTCTCTGATGACAGAGAGAATGGCGTTTAAGACTTTCCCAATCAGTGTGTGTGTGTGTGTTTACCATCACAGCCTAATATATTTTATTAGTTGTGTGTGCTTAAATAATCCCTATATATATATGCATGGGTATGAATAATAATAATTATTAATAATAAAAGCCGGATGGGAATACAATACAATTCAGAACAAACACGTGAGTGAATCCATGAATGGTGAAGCTATTTTTCTGTAGATGTAGAAATCACAGTCGCTGAACCACTCGATATAGTCGAAGCATGTGAACTCATCCGACTCACTGGTTTACCATATTCGATACGATCAATTTCTTCAACAATATCTAGATTCTCATGTTGAGATGTAGCATAACCAATATCAGAACTACTGAATGAAGTCGGTGACGAGGATGATGACAGGGAGGAGGAAAATGATGGCAGTGGATTGTTGTTGTTTCCGGCATACTTTTCACTTGGAATACTCAACTTTTTACCACTTTTCATTGGATGTTGTAATGATATCATCCGGTGGATAACACAACCTGACTTGCTTGTTGTTGTTGTTGTGGATTAATGATAAGATCTTGTGTGTTGAACTCTGGTCGATGAACAACTGGAGATGGCATGTTGCTGTTGGTGGTGGTGGTCAAGTCCACGTCTTGTCTGTCATTATTATGCTTTCGAAATGAAGACATCGATGATGAAGAGAAAGATGAAGAGTCCGAGGATATCACACTCATATCACTTTCTGATCTTGGCATATTATTATTATTATTCCGTGTTCTATGATCTGTAGATGGGTGAAGCAGTTTAGTGGATTTCGCAGTGAAATTATTACCCCCGAGATTGTCATCATCAGTGTTCTTTGCATTGGAATATCGATGAGACTTCTCTGACGATTTTCATTATTATTATTACTATTAGTAGCAGATACTGAAATAATCTTGATTGGTGTCCCATACTCATTTGTCTTGTAACAACTAGTGCTATTTGTCGATTCATCTTTCTCCATCGCCTCGTTGTATGCTCTTGAAGTATCACCTTGTGAGTCTATGGAATTTCGCCGTCTATATGTATTACCATTATTATCATTATTTACTACCATTATTCATTGACCTGGAGTCCTTCGCATAATAGGCATTCTTGAGTAAAGTGATATCAGGTATTTCACTAGTAGTTTTCTGTGGTCTTGTTCTCCGATGAAATGTTCTCTTAGGTATCGGTGGTGAGGGAGTTTTCTCCTCACACTGGCTAGTGTTCATTTTTGTTTGTTGATTACTATGATTAAAGTATGCTGAAGGTGTATTTGTAGCGATACTGGTGTTTTTTTTACACTTCACACTTGGATTATTTTGTCCTGTACAAGCTGGTTGAAGTCTTGGAGGTATAGGTGGGGCTTCAAGTTCCACTTGAGTTTTTGGTAAAGGATAAGGTGTACTAAGTTTAAGCAGTGTTGAATTCCTATTCGGTGGACATGATGTATTCCTAGAGCGTCGAACATCTGAAGTTCGTCTAGGTGTACCGATCGCTTCTGATGTTGTCGTCACTGATGCCGTCGCCGTGGCCGTTGCCGTAGCTAGCATTATTTTCGTTGGCGTTAATGCCAATGAAGAGGACAACGGTTGGACAATTGTCGATGTGGCTCTTAGTCTAGTAAGATTTTTAGACTCGATTGGTGTACTATTATTATTAGTAGTGGTAGTAGTAGTATCAGGATTTCCGACTGTTTGTTTAACTGCAGTCGGTGGTCCAGTTTGATCTGGTAACGTCATATGAGAAAGTAGACTGTGCTTTTTTCTATTCATACGTCCTACACCTCTTCGATTCATTACTGTAGACGAGGAGTGTGATGAATTCCCTGTGGAGGATATTGTTGGTGAGGCGTTGACTGGCGTCTCGTCATGTTGTTCATTTGTCTTCAGTAGAGAAGAGTAGTGCTTTTCATTACTGAATACACTATCCGATTCTAAAGGACTAAAAAGAGAGAGAGAAAAATAAACGGCGAAATGGTTAGTGTAGTAAAAAGCGCAAAACACTTGATAAGTCAATTGTTAAATGGGTGGTCTTCATTGTGCGTGAAATTTATTTTGATAAAGTCTCAAACAGTGTTGTTATACAGTGATATTTATACTGATGACAATGTTTCGAGCACAATTTATTGCTGCTCATAATCATACCAAGGTACTCACACAACACTCTAACTCCGTTTATACAATCCCATTCCCTCTTTCATGAAATAATTTCACATAGATTCAACTGTACAGTGAAAGAAAGTGAATTCACCGAAAAGACCCTTTTCTCTAAACAACTTTTCGTGTGGTTTTATAAGTGAGCTTGGACGTCCCGGGTCCAATCCCTGGCGGTTTCGTGGGTAGAGACTTATGAAGAGTCTCGAAATAGGATAAGACAGCTCTCCAGTGTTCTATGGTTTTCAATGATCTCTCTAACTGATTTTTGGTTGGTGATGAAAGTCTAACAACAACAACAACAACAACTGAAATTCACCCAAAGGCCCCATAAATCTTATAATCTGGAACTGTGAGTATTTTTATTTTCATCCCTTGAGTTTCCAGTGGAATATAGAGCTCCGAAATTCAAGTTTTTAAATTGTGCTAGTGGAGGTGATGTTTTTCACCTTTTTTCCTTCTTTTCTGAGCTTACTATCAGCGCTGGTGGGGGACCAAACCCAGACCCCAGGAATGGTTGGCGACCATTCTACCATTGGACAACAGATGCACGACTTTAAACTGTACTCTATGCGTATTTTGAAACTCTCTTACTCTTATGAACAACATTCCTGTTTGACAGTGTTTACAATTCCAACAGTAATCATTTCTCAACGCGATTTGTTCATTAATATTTTAGATTACGTAAGAATATTTCACCAAGTTTTTCGATCTATCAGTTTTCCTGCCTAATATTTATTGTATTTATTTTTTGATTTACAGCTTGATTCCACATCGTATTTTCAGTACAAGTGTGGAATTTTCAGCATGTGATATCGGTAGCCCAAATTCACAGGCCGACCATAGATATCGGGTGTGCGCCGGCAGGGGATCGAACCCCGGACCATGTGCATGGTCGGCGAGAGTCCTAACCACTGTGCCACCGATGCACACGTATATGAATATATATAATGCATTTTGTCATGGAGTAACATTATTAAGTGACCTCGCTTAGCAGCTTCCATGGCGTTTTTATGGGGAGAAAGAAGAGACCAACTGGGAAACGTAGTTGGTTCAGTCTACTCTAGAATCAAATAACTACCCAAAAAGCCTTTATTAAAAGATATTTAAAAAACGTGATGAGATTAGGATGCATCAATACTTGCTTCTAAGAATCGGGTGAGTACGGTAGTGATTCCTAATTTCAAAGAAATCTCAGAGGAAATAAAGCAAATTCTTAACGATCATGATATAAGAGTGTGTTTTCATACAACAAACATCTTACGATAATCATTTGTGAAGGTTAAGAATCTGGATGTGGACTTCGTCGATGATATATGTCTGATTTCTCACAAACTGGAAGATATGCAAGCGAAAAGCAACAAGTTGGCAGAAGAAGCATCAAAGATAGGAATTCAGGTGAACATAGAGAAAACAGAGGTGATGAAGATTCCTGCTCAACACCACCAACAACAACAGACAACAATCAGCATAAATGGAAGGAACCTGAAAGAAACAACCTCCTTTACCTACCTGGGAAGTATCGTCTCAACTACAGGCGGAACTGACGAGGATATCAAAACTGGAATCGGGAAAGCAAAGCAAGCTTTCACTACTCTCAAGTCTGTGTGGAGGTCAACAGCCCTACTCAGCATCAAAAATAAGATCCGGATTTTCAACTCCAATGTGAAGTCAGTCAGTGCTACTATACGGATCAGAGACTTGCACTGTGCGTCATAAAGAGCATCTCAAATCAACTACAGACCTTCATGAACAGTTGTCTTCGCTCAATGCCCAAGATCAGAAGGCCGGAAAAGATCAGCAACAGAGATCTCTGGGAGTGAACCAACCAGGAACTGATTGTGAAACAAATAGGCAGGAAGAAATGGAGGTGGACTGGCTGGCCACACTCTGGGGAAACCATCAAGTGACATCACTAGACAAGCCATTGCTCTAGTGGAACCCGAAAGGGAAGCGGCGAGTTGGTCGTCAGTGCGAGGGTGGGTGACTTGGAAGAGGTCATGTGAAGAGGAGATGAAAGCGTGTGGGCAGACATGGAGCCAGGTGAAGACTCTAGCAGACAACCAAACGCAATGGAGACGCACGGCTGAAGCCCTATATTCCTCTAGGAACTAAAGGAAATAATAGTAATAATAAGAATCCCAAAAATCTTGAACAGGCATGACAGTGTGATGTTATCTAATACATGGCAAGTCCTGATTAATAAATAAATAAATAAATAAAACGGGTATTATTATTATTGTTTCCTTGGGTTTCGAGTCGAACATAGGACTGGCTTCAACAACACATCCCCACTTTCTTCTGTTCTCTGCTGTCCTCTTCAGCTGGCTAGCCCATGATTACCCATAATCTCTTATCTCCTCCTCTTCCACAAACGATCTCCTCCATGTCACCCTCGCACCCTAGGACGACCCACTCGTCGCTTCCCATTGAGATTCAACTCAAGTGATGGCCTCCACTGAGCACGATGTCATTCGACGGACTCCTCAACGTATGCCTAATCAATCCATCTCCATTTTCTCCTACATATCTGTTGACCAGTCGGCTCTTAGTTGGTTTGTTCCCAGCTAGCGTTCCTTCTTACTAATTCTTTCTGGTGTGCCGTCTGGCCATTTGATCTTCAGTATGGAGCTAGCCAGAGAAGCCGGCAGCTGTTGATAAAAGCCTGTAACTTGTCGGAAGTCCTTTTCGTGATAGGCTAGCCAAGTTTCTGGCCCGTAAGGAAGAATTGACCGACTGACTTTCCTGACATTTGCATTGAAAATCCGAATCTATCTTGTTGTTTCTGCTGGCTGGCTGAGTGAAGCAGAGGATTTTCAAACTCGTTTCAGGTTGATGAAGACGTCTCTTACCTTTCCAAATCTGGCTGGCTGATTGGCTTCGATATCTTCATCCGTGCTGTCCGACTGCCTGTGGTGTAAACCATGCTTCCTAGCCAGATAAGTAGAGGGGGGGGAAGTGACCTTTGTTAAATCTCTCTTTTTGATAGAAATTGTTGCTGGTTCTTGTTGGTTTGCTGTTTACTGGTTTGCTATCTTCATCACCTCCGTTTTCTCCATCTCCACCTGGAGTCCTGTCTTCGATTCCTTTTCAGCCGATTTGTTGGTTTTCGCCTTCAATTCTTCAAGTTTGTGTGACATTAGACATAAATCATCCACAGGCGAAATCCAGATCTTCTAGAGTCTTCTTATCAGTGGTTCACTGTATTCTTATCCTCTCACTCCGTGTGAACAGTCTGACGCGCCACATAGTCCATCACAATTAAGAATATCATCGGTGATAATAGGCAGACAGCCTTGTCTAACTTCTGTATTCACTTCAAACGCCTTGCTGAGTTTCCCGTTGTTGATCACTCGACACGTGGCAGTGTCATATGGCCAGCTGTTGAATGAGGTTGATAAAGACTTGGGCATTGCACATCGTAGTGTCGAAGTAGTTTCCAAATTAAATTCTCAATCAACGCTATCTGATGAAGGCCTTTTTCGGAGTCGATGAATTTGAGATACAGGTTTGACTGGCATTCCATGCTTTGATCGATTACGATCCGTAGGGTTGTAGTTTGATCATCACATGATTTGCCTTTCCTGAATCCAGCTTGTTCCGGGTTGGCAGAGTTCTACATCCAGTGTATCTTCTATTCTTCCCAGGATGATGCGACTCAGTATTTTACTTGGCGTGCAGAATAGCATGATTCCACGCCAGTTCTTGCAGAATGAGGCATAAGTCACCCTTCTTCTTCGGTATGTATCACTAATTTGTCATGCCTAATCTACTTTGCCCGATAATATATATCTTCTTACAGAAAGGCTAACAAAAAATGATATACAAATACTCTCCCACACGCACATACACATACCATTGTGTGTCATATACACACATTTCTCATATTCTGTTATCTGTGGTCATACGCTTTAGTCGAGCATAATCACAAAATCCAGATACAAAAGTGCACACATAGACGAACAATAAGTCTGTGATCAAATTTGGATGACAGTTCTGTTATGTTTTAATGTCTACTTATGACCCATATGATCAAGCAAGGATTCCAAAGACAGGAAATGTCCTTTTATTGAATTGGTGGATGGTGACTAGCAGTGGAATCCAGAATAACGTGCATTTCGTCCTATTTGAGACTCGTCAACCACTGGATGTACCTGCATTTCCCAGTGAGTGGTGATGTTCCCACCAACGAGGCTCGAACCCAGTGCCCATGGCATCAAACGCCAAAGAGTTATTCACTAGACCACTTGGGCCACGACAGCCACCTCTTGTGCAACGAGTCATAAAAATTATTTAATTGAATTTAAAATTTTCCCTTCGATTGATTGGACTGAAGTGCTCGGTCTCAAATAGGACGAAATGAGCGTTATCCTGGATTCCATTGCTAGTCACCATCCACCGATTAAATTCTAATTACATGCCAAGACATCGTCGAAGCATCTGCACAAGAAGTCAACAGATATGTCAACCTAAGACCGAGCACTTCGGGATAATCAATCGACGGGAAAACATAAAATTCAATTGAATATGTTCTTTTATGTCTAGAAAAGATGAGAATAATGAGAATATTTGAAGAAGCTAGAAGACAACAGGTCAGCGATTGCACTGCACTCAGCGGAAATAAGGCACGAGGTCGACTATGTTAGGACTAAGGTCCTACAGAAAGTTTTTAGTTCGTGCAAAGAGAGACTAACTGCAGAAACCTTACATATATGAGTGAATCCCAAAAGCTTGAACAGGAGTGATGGTGTGATGTTAACTTATGCAAGACAAGTCCTGAATAATAAGTAAAAAATGGATATGTACCACTAATCAATCATACTTGATCTAAATTCCCGATTGTCTATATCTTCTTGTAGAGAGGTTAACAAATGATTTACAGTTTCTCCCCCAGACACACGCACACTACTGTACACCGCAAGTACACACATACATTTTTTCATGTACAGTTATCTAAGACTATGAACTATTGAAAGCCAGGGATTACTGGACAGCTGCTGTTTCATCCTAGTTTGGGAATCATCGGCAGTACACACCCATTGCCAGGGTTAGAACCCAGGACCTTCTGGTTGCAAGGCAGTCTAGCTCGTATACCATTCAGCCGCTGGGACCCAACCCAATTCAATGGCCAGCCCATGAATTCTAACTTCTACCAATTCGTGATGCATTTGGTGCAACCCCAACCAGTGTCGTAGGTGGGACATCCATCCTCACACGTGACATCTGGATGGACCTCACTGGTCACGACTTCTCACTAGAAATCACTCCAGGAAACTCCATCCTGTAGCAAGTCAATAACAAGCATCAAATTAATTCGCTATAGTTGGTTTTCAATGATTCTCTAACTGATATCAACCCGTGATCAACTCGTAAAAACAAAACTAACCCTTACAAACCAACTATAGACAACTATGAACTATGCTAGAACTTAATCACTAAAAATCTGTTGCAAGAGTACAATCTGTCTACAGTGTTTGACAAAAGTAGACTAATATTTGTAACTCATGGAAAATTCCCATTGTAACATATAGAAAATCAAAACAAATGATTCAGCGAAGAGACTCTTTTCAACGAATTTATCATCAAGCTGTACAATCGTAAATATATGGTTTTTTTAAGAAGTTATATCTGATGAGGCAATTGAATCATAGGTGTGAATGCATAGCCTCCGCCTTCAAAGTCATCTACAAGGCAAAGAGTAATTTACCTAAATCCCTACGTACCCGACTCATCTGTATTGCTGAAGCTTTGGCTATCGAAACAGAAAAGCCAGATCTCTGTGTACAGAAAATGTTTGTTCACCCACCTCCAACTTTCATGGTCTTAATCCCTCTACGCTAAAGTATGGTAATCCCCAATCATATTTTAGCTCTACCAATTCTTCATTTTTTCATTTTTGTCTATTCACTTTGTATACTCTTCCTTATTAAGTCAATTGTTACTATTACTACTCTCACTTTTAATTGTCCCCGGTATTATTTCACTTGTTCCACTTGTCATTCTAAATCAATTCCTTTATGCAACATTAAATTCTATGCTATCAGATTTCACACAATATTACGTAACGTTTTTATTTTTTCGACTTGTCTACTAATCTTATAATTGCATACCTTTTTCAAGTTCTATCCATCCTATGAATTATTCTATGTATGACATTAATTTGCTTTGCCACTTGACATTTAACTACGATTATAATCACAAACATTTTAGTTTTAATTACATTTCATATTATTATTATTTTATGCATTCACACCTATGGTTCAATTCCCTCACAGGATATAACTTCTTAAAACCCATATATATATACGATTGTACAGCTTGATGATAAATTCGTTGAAAAGAGTCTCTTCACTGAATCATTTGTTTTGATTTTCAATATTTGTAAGTCTGAGGTCAAATTTTGATCACAGTTCATACAATTTTGTTTATTATACATGTTCATACCTGTTTCATGACTCATACGATTGGACAAAGTTTTTAAAGACAAGAGATGTCCTTTTTATATATAAACCTCTGTTATTCTAATTTCGGTTACTTTACCTAACGAAATTCGGACCAGTTCGCCAAAAGAAACGTTGGGATTACTTATTTCAATTTCACTGAGGTCCATACAAACATAATTTTTTACATATGTCTACCTCTAAATCAGCACCCAATTTTTTGGGAACTAACTATTCGGTGAAATCTTCGTCACAGTTCATTTTAAGAGTAACTGTACAGCTTTAGATGAGAAGTTAATGAAAAGGATATTTGTCCCTTTTATAAATTTGGATAGTGTTATAAGAAGACGGAGATTATCTGAAAAATGTGATGTGATGTATTTGCGCTATACATTTCGAACAATCTGATCCTTCATACATTTACTTGTCAAGTCGATATATATATATGAAAATTTTAAATTAAACAAAGTGACAAAAAAAGGATGTAAGAATGATTAACACAACGTTTGGTAATCCAATCAAACAAGGATTACCAAGGTGGGTGCTTAAGTTTATGAAGAGCCATAGCCTCAGAGTATTTCAGTAAGCGCCCTTGACCGTTTTTATAGATGACCTTAAAGGCTGAGTTAACATCAATCTTATGGTTCATCTCAATTAAGTGTTTAGCTATAGACGAAGTTGGTAGTCTGACACCTGCGTCTATTGGTTTTTTACAATTCATTTGTTTTTCTAGCCATTTTGGGATATGCTCTCACACCCTCACATGCAAAGTACCATTACTCCTCCCTATGTATGTGTGTCCATACACTCACGAAACTTGGTAAATAGTATGGGATGTGACGTAATCACTTGTGCACTTTTGAGGTTTGCAGTGGAGCATATTTCTGGCTTTTTCGACAATTACAAGTTGGGCTGCATAATAGGTTCTACGGATGATCGAATTCAACCTTTGTCTCAAAATCCTACTGTTTATTTCCCCGTTATATGGTAATTTGATGAAAACATTTTTCTTAGGGGCGGTATAGATTGTAGGTTTAGAGACTAATTGACTTCTACACCTGTTTAAAAATTTTAAAGGATATCCGTTTTCAACAAAAGTATCCATCAATATTTCATTTTCTTTGTCTATAACATCAGCCGTGCAAATACGTTGAATCCTCTTAAATAGACATTTCACCAAGCCTCTCTTATAGTGTAATGGACAGAAGCTGTGAAAATTAAGGTACTACCCTGTCCAAGTGAGCTTTCTGTAGATTGATCGTCTTATTGTGAACCATCATCTCTTCGACTCAGAAGAGTATGTCAGAAAATACAAGCTGGTTGCGACTTTCTTCCTCGCTTGTAAGACGAATATGGTTCTGTACAGAGTTAAGTCTGTCTAATAGAGACGAGTCGCATCTTCATGATCGTCACATATCAAAATGATATCATATCTACATATCTCTTATAGAAGAGCAATTTAGTAAAAATTAAATCAAGGGACACGTTCTCAACATAAGACATGTAAATATCCGCTAACAAAGGTCCTAATGGACTCTGCTGACCCATGTCGTTTTACATTAAATGAGTACTTTTCATAGTTTAGAGAAGCGAAATGAAATCAGTCAGACTATTGGTAAAATATAAATTCAACCGTTTATATGAGTTATCATATGAAAAAGGATTGTACATTGACAATAATTACTCACTTTATTTGTGGAGGTATATCTTCATATGTGAAGTAGGTCATGTAGATCCGCGTGTGAATGTATAGACATATGTACAGACAATGCAAGGAGAGAGAAAGAGAAACAAAATAAATTCAGTTCAATTAATTTATCAACAATACATAACAAAAGTTTAACATCTATTTAATTGGTGGATGGTGACTAGCAGTGGAATTCAGGATGAGCATTTCATCGTATTTGGGACTCGTCATCTGGACGTACCTGCATTTCTCAGTGAGTGATAACCCTCTGGCGTTTGAAACTATGGGCACTGGGTTCGAGCTTCGGTGGGAACATCGTCACTCACTGAGAAATGCAGGTACGTCCAGATGACGAGTCCCAAATACGATGAAATGCGCGTTATCCTGGATTCCACTGCTAGTCACCATTCACCAATTAAATACTAATTAAATGCCCAGACATCGTCGAAGCATCTGCACAAGAAGCCGACAGACATGTCAACCTGAGACCGAGCACTTCGTTCCAATCAATCAATCGACGGGAAAATCAAAAATTCAATGAAATTTAACATTTATCCCTACAAATTTATCCAGAAACACATAACAAAGAAAGCGGAAAAGGAATACGCACTGTCTGTAGGCAAGAAGTCTCTTTATATACACGAATGCGATTCAAGGGCGATATACCAAGTGAAATAATTAGGAAGAAATTTAAAAAAATCAGTTCGAAGAACTTTTAATGCTGGTGAACTCCACGTCTTATTCTCTACACGACCGATGGTGATTCTTCGACTGAAAGATGAAGTACCTAGACTAGCTAGCCACTTCAAATTGTATCTACCTATTCAACTGCACTTGTGGTGAGGGCGAGTTATATCGGCCGTTGCTCTAGGAACTTGATTTTTCGTGCTCACTCAAGAACATCTCCCAGCATGCATAAGTGAAGGTGTAGTGAAAACCATCAACAGTTCGATATTATATCACCTGGTCCAAACTGGCCACAAAGACACCGTTGAAGAATCCTTCTCTGTCATCTACCGGGTGCCAAATAAATTGCCAAAAGCATTGAAGTACCGCATGCTCCAAACAGCAGAGGCTATCGCGATTCACGTGAAACAACCAGTGCTTTGTGTGCAAAAGAAGCAAGTCCAGCCAGACACTACTACTGCCCTGCCTGGCCTTCAGTAGAGACTAGAAATTCATGAATTTGTAATATTATCTTTCCTAATTTTTCTGACATTCAGTTTATTGTTATGTTGATGCTATTGAACTGTAATCCATTGATATTATTATTGTTGATTCGATGTTATTTAAACAACACTAATGTTGTTAATAACACTAATTCATTCACTTTTATGGATGTATATATAACTGTAGAACCTAACGATGAAGAGCGGATTATCGAAAAGAGTATTTCTTGTTCAGTATCCATTCTTTTGAAAATTTTAATGGGCATTTTTAATCAGCTTCATATTATCTTAACAATTTTCTTTAAGTGTTTAAAGGGTTGGTTTGCAGGGGCATTCGATTCTTCTCAATTTTGATTACATATTGACTTCATTTAAGGGACCATAAAAAGGCATTAGGGAGTACTGGACAGCTGTTTCATCCTTGTTTGGCACCCTTCAGCAGTACGCACCCGTTAACCTACAAGTGATCAAACCCAGGAACTTCAGCCACTGGGACCTGACTTAATGGCTAGCCCATTAATTCAAACTTCTGGAATTTTCACGATTTTAGAGTGGCTGCCAGATAATGTCCTCTGCTATTATCTGTTCTCGTATTCAACCTTAGTGGACTCTGCTGATCACAACTTCGCAAAAGAACTTCAGGCAACTGTCTCCCGTATTCAGTTACTAATGATCCCTAGATTAATTAAAATATCACGAATTGATAGAAGTTAGAAATGGTGGGCTATTGGATTTCGTCCTAGTGACTGAATGGTCAATGAGCTTGTCTCGAAACCTTAAAGTTTAGAGTTCTATCCCCAGTGGGACCATGGATGGATGTATACTGCCGATGAGTTTCGAACAAGGACAAATTGGCTGTCCAGCACTCTCCTATGGTTTCCAATGGTTCTCTAACCGCAGTCAGTTCTTTATCAAACTTGAGATTGTTTCATATCTTTTTTGGATTTCGAGTGGGACATAAGACTTTACAAACATTTGAAGTTTCAGCAGCAGTACTTTTCAGGTATTGGTTTGTGCTGATTTGATTGATTGGTTACAGGATATTTCATCATGTGCTGACATTGGTTAGAGAAACATTGGAAAACCTGCAGGGAGCACTGGACAGCTGTTTCGTCTTAGTTGGATGGATTGATTCCCAGTGGCTTAATGGTCTACGAGCTAGCTTGCCTTGTAACCAGAAGGTCCGGTGGGTGCTTACTGTTGAAGAGTCCCAAACCAGGCTGACGAAACAGCTGGCTAATACTCCCTGATGGGTTTTCCAATGGTCCTGTAACTGATGTCAGCTCATGATGAAATCCTGTAAGCAGTAGTTTTGTTTTATTTTACGGAGTGGGGCTTTGTTAGCCTCTCGTCTAACTTTTCCTTCTTTTTCACGGAATTAGTATTGACTAGTGAACTAGGTTGAGGTTTGTGAAATATTATTAACGCAATAGTTCGTGTTCTACAGACAAATGCAACTGTTATTAGTGTGAAGCTATAAACACCAGTGTTATGAATGATCTTCAGAAATGAGTACTGCGTTTCTAGTGTTATTCACATGTTCATGGTCAGCACTGGAAGCTGATCAGTTCACATTTCGTCCTGTTTGGGACGCGTCATCTGGATGCACCGGTATTCCCCAGTGAGTGGATAACACTCTGGAGTTTAGAACTGTGGATACTGCATTAGAATCTCAGTCGGAACACCATCATGTCACTCACTGAGGATTACGGGTACACCCAAGTGCCAAGTCGTAGAGGGGTTGAAACGCGCATCCTGGATTCATCTGCTGGTCACCACTCACTAAATTATCTTTCCTGATAGTACTGTTGTATTTACAAACTTTAGATTTTTGTGAATAAAATTTTCGGCATCACTGTAGACAATATTTTCGTAGATACTCTTTTTTATAAGCATGTCTAGGAGACTTCTTCCGAGATAAGTATAGTTTAAATACTCAAATGATTTTATTCTTTTTGATAAGTTTCCTGGTGTGTAAGTCAGGTGTGACATAGTAAAAGTGGGACCAAGCCGTAAGTGAAAGGAGTTGGATACCTGTAAGTCAAAAACAGCCCTCGTCATTTCACTAGCCCACAGTATCAGAAGAATTTGCAGTATTAAATGTTTAGAAGAAGAGCTCCTAGACCTCAAAAGTATCATAGCTCAGAATGGGTACCCGGCATGTTTCATGGAAGAAAATATCAAGCCAAAAAGAGAAAAATGAACTTCAGTACAAAAGTAAATACTGCGCAGGAATCTGAACTTCAGGAGACACTTAGCTGCAGATATTCCTGACAGGAGGATCTCTACCCTCTCTAAAGAAGACCTCTCTTGCAGCAACACTGGGAGTGTTATTCTATAGCAACCCACTACTTCGAAGCAGTGTGAAGGACAAGCTTCCACATATGATCGCCCTGATATGTATAGGTCAGTTCACCTGCTCCTACGGAACTTTGTACATAGATCTTTCTATGCAGGTCCTATCAACAGTACTCAGCATGATTGCCAAGAGGAAGCACTAGTTCAATTAGAACAGACGTAACTGAACAATTAGTCAGCTCCTATCACATCACCTCAACTGATGCATCATTCAGAGTCATTTACACAGTAAACAAACATCTACCAAAGGCAGTGTGTTTCTGACTTCTTTGTACTGCAGAAGCCCTCATCGTATGCGTCGAAAAGTCAGAGCTATATGTTCAAAGGAAACTGGCTCAACCTCTTCATTTACCGTGGGTCTAGTTTGGTTTGACTTCTTAATTTTCTTATTTTGTTTTTTCACTCCTTTCAACTATCACATTTCTAGCCACAAAAACTATTCCAACTTGTTTCCTTGCTTATTCCGTTCACACATGTCCTCTTTAAAAACTAACTTACTTATTTCGCAACTCATGACGTAGCGCGACCACTTTTCAATGTCTTCTTCGATGAGCAACTGTCCTCACCTTCAACCTGCTGTACCCTACAGGCCACGACTTCCCACTAGAAACCTTGGGGTAACTGCCTTAATATGAGCAGTCGCTAGTCAGCATCAGATCATTTTTCAACTATTGGTTTGCGGAGAACCCCGGTGGGTGCGTACTGCCGAAGAGTCCCAAACCAGGCTGACAAAACAGCTGTCCAGTACTCCCTGCAGATTTTCCAATGGTTCTCTAACCAATGTTGCCTCATGATTAAATCCTTCAACCAATCAAACACAAAATCCCTACAAACCAATACTCGAATATTACGCAACTATTTTTAGTCCTATGTAACTTTGTTTCTAAGCCCCTTGTAATCTATTTATATTCACACCTTTGAACTTTCATATCAAGTTGAAAATTATTATCACAGAGTTATTCAAGCTTCCTTCTAAATTTTAGTCGACAACTTCCCTCCCACCACTTATGAATCAGATGATTTTGCGTCGGTGGCACAGTGGTTAGGACTCTCGCCGACCATGCACTTGGTCCGGAGTTCGATCCCCTGCCGACGCATTCCTGATATCAATGGTCGGTCTGCGAAATTTGGCCTACCGATATCACATGCTGAAAATTCCGTACTTGTAGCGAAAATACTGTGTGGAATCAAGCTATAATCAAAATAAAAAATAAAATAAAAATAAAAAAATTTTGTAGCCAGTCATGTGACCATTCATTGTGGTGAACTGGGTCACAGAAAAGACAGTGGGTAAAAGTGTGAACTCTAGGAGATATGGAATTCACAGGTAATTTATGCCTAATTTTACACAAACTCGAAGATTTATAAGTGAAATCCAATAGGTGATGACGACAGGACTTCAGGTGAATATAGAGAAGACAGTGGTGAGGAAGATAACCAAATAACAACAACAGGCATCAGTCACCAACAACGAGAGAGATCCATAAACAGTCGTCTCCTTCACTTAACTAGACAGCAGCATTTCAGCTACAAGCGATACAAATGAGGATGTCGAGGCAGGGGAGGATCATACCGGGAAAGCAAGATGAGTATTCGACACACCTGAAAGAAGCGTGGAGATCAACAGCAATTAGCATGAGAAACAAGATATGAATTATGAACACTAATGTGAAACCGGTGCTTCCACATGGTTCAAAGAATTGGTACCTGCATCATGAAGAGCATTTTCAGCAGTGTATTACAGATTTGCATTGAGAACTGACTTCGCTGGCTGGATACTGAAGATCAGATGGCCAGTCAACCAGGAAGGATAAGCATCAAGGAACTCTGGAAATGAAGAGGTCTGTTGATGGCAATCGGGATGGAGTGGAAATACTCTGCGAATACTGCAGAGTGAGTCAAATCGCGAAAACAGCAATTCGGAGATGAGTTTTGAATCATTGTGAGCCAAAAGCACCTAACTTCACGCCAGCATTTTTGTCACATATATATTGAATTTACGTGATATCTGTTAGAGAACCATTGGAAAACCCTCCAGGGAGTACTAGCTAGCTGTTTCATCATCTAGGTTTGGGACTCCTTGGCAGGGGCACCCACCGGGGTTTGAATCCACGAACTTCTGGTTACAACGCTAGTGAGCTCGTAGACTGACCATTAAGCCACTGGGACCTGATCCAATGGTCAGCCCATGAATTCCAACTTCTTCCGGCCAATTCATGACATAGTGCAACTGCTAGTCAATGTCTTCCCCGAGTATTTGTCCTCACACCCACCTGCTGCACCCTACTGGTCACGACTTCCCACTAGAACCCAGGTAACTACCTACCCGAATAGGGCCAGTCACTAGTGAGAATCTCATTGACATTTAAGTATTGGTTTGTATGGATATGATTGATTAGTTACAGGATTTCATCATAAGCTGACATCGGTTAGACATCCTCGGTTCGAGCCGCGGTGAATGCGTGTCGCTGAAGAGTCCCAGACTAGGCTGACGAAACAACTGTCTTCTACTCTCTGCAGGGTTTTCCAATGGTTCTCCAACCGATGCCATCTCATGAAAAAATCCTGTAACATAAGTTGAACAATCAGTGGCAACTATGAAGCATTAGAGAGTCGTTACGTCCTAGTTTTTGGCTGTTCAGTAGTACACATCCATGACCCCGCAAAGGATCAAATACCTTGAGCTTCAGGTTATGACACCCACCCGTCGGTAACTTAACCTCTATTTTTTTAAAAATTCAATGACTCTAAATTGCTACTTCTGTCAATTCGTGGCAGAGCTGTAGTCTGAAATTTAAAAAAGTAGATAATATCTTTCTCTTTTTCCGGTGATCAGCATCAAAACTGTTGGACATTTCGCGCTTAAAATAATAACTCACTTGACACAGAATGTCCTCTTCTTGATGGATATTTGATTTTAACATCAGATTTTAACAATGTGTGCCTTGAATCTTCCGTCTTTTGTTCAGAATGTACACCAGAGTCAAGTCGAGAACTTTTCTCCTCTTCAGAGGAATCCGTTGTTGTTGCAGTTGCAGCTGTCATTGAAGTTGACATATTATGCAATTTTGATGATTCCATTGTCTTGCTTGTTGTTGAAGTGCCTTTTAAATTGCCCCAAATATTTTTAAAGTGTTGATTCAACTCATTCTTTGCATTCGATGTTTCCAAGAGGAAATTAGTGACTGGAGGTTCCAGCAGATAGGTAACAATCTGTGTAGCTATCTTTGAATCGTCTAAAGCCAATGGGGTATTTGGTCGTTGAATAAGATTTGGACCCCATACAACTGCTAAATTCCTCGCTGACATACGATTCGCTTCTTCATTATCGCGGATATGCGCAAGAAGGTAGATTAACAGGGCTAGTAAAGTTTGGTTAACTTTAGGAAGACTGCGGACTAATCTAAAACAGGTGAGATATCAAAGTGGAAAGATATTAATAATCATAGTAATAGCTTTATTCTGAAAATTGCATTTATACTGATATCCATCAGCGTAAAACAGTAATCATCTTATGGTAACAGCAGAAGGCAAGACATTGAAGCCAGGGTAAGTAACAACATAAGACAAGGGCCAGGCAACAGAGCTTTTATTAAGGAAATCAACACATATTTATGGATTTTCATGTACATCATTATAGATTATTGTTAGCAGACAAACACAGTCTTTTGATTGGTTGCTTCTCACTAAAAGTTAGTCCTTTATCTCTTTGTGGCTGTTTTTTGAATGTCAGATCACCTATCTGTTAATTGTATCCGCCTACGCAAAGTCTGCTGTCACATGACTAATATTTAGGACACAAACATTGACCTAAATTACTGTCTACCAATTTGGCTAGCAGCCAGCTCTCACCACAGGTATATTTTCCATTGATTAAACCGCTATTTATATCTATACAGTTAATATATATTCTTTAACAAATGATTGAGCGTGCGATTTTGGTTTGTGATGAGAGCTGTCAACTAGCCAAAATTGGTAGACAGCAATTCACGTCAATGTTTACGTCCCAAATCGTGGTCATGAGAAAAAAACAAGATCACGGACTAACTCAACAACCAATCACAGTAGACTTGGCGTGGGCGGATGAGATTAGCAGATAGATCAATAGACTGTCTAAGAAACGGTAACAAAGAGATGACAGAATAAAATTCAGCAGGAAAACAACCAATCAGAAGACGTCGCCTCTCTGCTAACAATAACGAATAATAATGTAGATAAAAATCTATAAATATCTGTTGGTTTTCTCGATAAACGATCTGTTGCCTGGCCATTGTCTGCTGTCGTTACAGGTTTAAATTAAACGACATGAAACAAAATGTTCAAATACATATATATTATTACGTTGTTAATGCATTATTGGACTGTGGGAATAGCATTCAGACGTTAGCACCAACAAATACAATGTTTCTAACTGTGAGAATAATATTCCGTTGGAACCCATTGTCTGTATCACACCACCACACTCGTCCCCCCATCAAATACTCTAGAATGAAGGTGGTCCTATCTTCTTGAGGCTGGCGGCTTTGTTAGCTTGTCTTGCTGTATCCAGTTTCGGAGCTCGCTGACGTTCACGCGCTTCTCTTCATAAACAATCTCCTTCATCCATCCTTATATACCTTCAAGTTTTACTTTTATTATTTCTATTATATTTATGGTCCTGTTGCTTCTTTGTTTTTACTTTCATAACTGCAAACACCAACTTATCTCTATGACTGCTGTAATCTTTGTTTTTTCCCTCACCATATCATGTAAAGAGAACATTTTATTCAATATTTTTAATCATGCAAGGATTTGTATACCGCATCGACAATACTGTGTGAAACAAGCCCACGGCAATTTTCACTTGTATTATTATCACTACCTTAGCTGCTATCATTATTATTACTTCCATTTTATATGCTGCATGTTTTTGACATTACCCCTATTGTAAATGTTGAACAATTTTCTATGCGATTAATTTTATTTATAATATAAGGAAATTAGATGCAATATTGTGATTAATGCTGAAAATTCCATTCTGTATCACAAGTACTGTTTTTGGAATAAAGTAAATCATTATTATTATTAGTAGTACTCTTCTGATGGTATATACATGACCCGGTATCGTAGTGGTCGTAAATGGTTATTCCCACTTTGGAAGCAGTTCTCGTTAGCCTGGTGCGTATTTGCCGGTGTTTTGCGTCACACTATCATATGCTGCCTTCGCTCGACCTCCCAGTAGCGTCCCAAGTAAAAGCATCTTGTCTGACAGATCCTGAACGTCATCCAACTCCTCAAAAGCCTCGAAGTCCTGCCCGAAGATCCATATGTCCCCTTCATCAAAAACTGCAGGGCATAGACTTTTCATTTGTCGGTAGGCAGCGACACCAAATGTAACAACTGAAGATAAGACACCGAAGCTAAGGTATATTTTCAAGTGATCAAACAGCTATTTATATCAATACAGTTTTATATTCTTTAACCAACCACTTAGCTTGTGATTTTGGTTCACATTAAATGACACGAAACAGAATGTTTAAATACATATATAGTATTCCGTCGCTTATGCAGTATTGAACTGCGGGAATAGTATTCAGACGTTAACACCAACAAATACAATGGTTCTAACTGGGGGAATTATATTCCATTGGAACCCCTTATCTGTATCACACTATCACATTATAACTCATCATGTAATCGGACCACCTTTTTCTCACCTTGTTCTTGGTCAAATCACCAACCAATCAGAGTATTTATTTATATTTCGCCTACCTTAGTCGAATCACCAATCAATTAGAATAATTATCTATTTCCACTGCCCTGGGCTGACTACAATGTAGTAAAAGAAATACCTAAATATAACGTGGTTCTTCCTGATAAGAACTCTATCCTAGCAATCACAGAGCAATCTCCCTCTTTTGATATTTACATTGCTTAGTGAAGCACAAGGTACTGAGGACGAATAGGCGTATTTAGCATATTAGTTGAGATGTTCATCGCTTCAGTATTATTACACCCACGCATAACTCCGCTCAGTCATATTAACTGTCGACAGGTTCATACCAAAAGTTGGCGACGGGGTTATTCAACTCAGTGCGGACTTAATATATTTTGGTAACAGAATTATTGAGTTCAGTGTAGCCATATTTTAGCTTGACGGCAACGTCGTCCAATCCAGTCCAGGGATAACACTACACAATACAGATTTCCAAGTGAGTTTTATTTCAGGGTATCTATTCAGTGTGTAGAATCTTCGAATCATATAATGGTTGGTAATGCATGATCTGAAGTAAGCACTGTTCCACCTGAAGGTTGCTGCAGTATTACTTCACGAAAAGTCCTAGTGGTAGGTAGAATTTCAACTTATTCTGGTGATTAGATCGTTTAAACAATATGAAACGAAGTAAATACGTTTCATTTTGATGGATATAAGTTCAGATAGCCCAATGGCTTAACCATGTCGTTCTGATCCAGACAGTCAAGTCAGTATGTAAAGAATCTAATGAGAAAAGACTTCAGCATGGGTTAAGTGATTCGCTTACCTTCCGAGTGGAAAATAGGGCTACAGTCAATCTTTGGAGTTTCAGTAGCAATGATGTTCGTTTTACTGGGTGGGATTGCTTGCTGTCTGTCTCTCTTTACCGGGCTAACTACCAGCTAAATGAGGTTTAGGAGGGCTTCAGCTGGGAGTTGAACCCAGACCACATGTATGGTTGGGCGAAGATTCCCTCTCTAAACTATTGACTCACTCAGCAAATATAGGGTAGATAAAATCTAAATGAAAATACATACTACTGATTGATTCAAGTGAGTAGTTGTATGCTACTCGTATCAGCCAGCAGTGCTGGCTAGTCAACCAGATCGAAGTGATACACACTCCGAACTACGGTTTCGCTCGTTTGGCACCAAGCTCATTACCAGTGTACTCGGTTTGACTAAGCGTAATGAGTTAAATTAGTTTCAATCACCCGGTTTTTCAAAGTAGTAAACCTTTTGCATTGTACACTGTTCGAAGGGTGAAATCACACGATCAAATCTGTATGATGTGATGGCAAGCACCTATATGATCAGTCAGTTTCAAAGAGCAGAAATCTACTCGTCAAACTAGGCAGCATCGCTAGTCTATTTCAACAGTAGAATCGTATGTTTAACCGAAATTTATACATGGCTATCGAAGACTATATCAGATATACTGGAATCGATGAATATCCTTCAAGTTGTACACGACAAGTGATTCAATTCACTTCCTTTAAACCTAAATTAACGCTTGTTTTAATTAGCAAAAGTTCATCACTTGATTGGTTGTAGGATTCCATCATGAGCTGACACCAGCTGGAGAACCATTGGAAAACCTGCCAAGGAGTACTGGACAGCTGTTTCGTCAGACTAGTTTGAGACTATTCATCAGTATGCACCTGACCCACTGCCAGATTTGAGCCCAAGATCTTCTGGTTACAAGGCAAGCTCGTAGACCGTCACACCATTGGCCAACCCATGAATTCTAACTTCTGCCCATTCACGAAACAGCACGACAAGTTTGCAATGCCATTGGATCGGGTCTCAGTGGCTAAATGGTCTACGAGCTTGCAATGTAACCAGAAGGTCCGTGGTGGTGGATGCGCACTGCTGAAAAGTCCGAAGCTGGGCTAACGAAACAACTGTCCAGCACTCCCTGGTGGGTTTTCCAATGGTTCTCTAACTGATGTCAGCTCATGATCAGATCCTCCAACTAGTGAAGGGTCACCAATTCAAAAAGAACAATAATCCGTTTTAGTGATTCTTTGATGTAGAACTCTGACATCCTTAGTTTCAGATGTGTGGTTTCATGAAACGCTAGATGTCTACTTCGTTGTCTGTAGTATCTGCCTAAAAAGGCCTCAAAGTTTTGTTGAACCCCAAGAAGTGTGAGAATGGGAGTTCAAAGACTTTCTGACATAATAAGACATATTAGCAACGGATTAACTACACTCCACAACGCTTAGACAGTCTTGTTTATCAATGAAAATAGACTTAGTTAATTTAGGTGGTTCGGGGTTCGACTCCCCGGTCGACGCACTCCTCTACCTAGCTAAGCGAGTAATATAAGACTGGTAAAGAGGGAGGATGGGTATGAGGCTAGCAACCCCATCTTGTAAAAATAAATACCACTGATAATGAAACTTCAAAGCTCTGGCTCGAGGCCTTATGTTCCACTGGGAACTTAAAGGAATTAAAGGAAAAAACTAGCAGTGGAATCTAGCCAGGATGCGTATTTCGTCCTATTTGGGACTCGTCAACTGCGCGAACTTGTGTTTCCCACTGATTGATAGTGTTTTCATTGAAGCTCGAAGCCAGTAGTCATCCTTTCAAACGCCAAAGCGTTATCCATCAGGCTACTTGGGCCATGAGAACAATCTCTTCTGCGACGGGTATCAATTACTCCACATTCACTTTGGACATTTCCGTTGAGGCCAAGTACTTAAGTCCAATCAATTAATTGGAGGATGTATATTAAATTAAATTACAATTGGTAACCATTGGATAAAAGGTGACTCTCATGGCCCAAGTATTCTGATGGATAACGCTTTGGCGTTTGAAACGATGAGTACTGGCTTCGAGCTTCAGTGAAAACATTATCACTCAGTTGGGAACGCAGGTACGTGCAGTTGACGAGTCCCAAATAGGACGAAATACGCCAGCCGACTGGATTCCACTGCTAGTCACCATCCAACAAATTACTTCAAGTTAAATCCTCAGACGTCGTCGAAGCATCCTCATAAGGAGGCAACATATCAACAGAGGCCGAACATTTTGGTTCAGTTAACCAAACACAATTGCTTACAATCATATCAACTTGATATGATAATGAGCGATAAATTGTGCTCGAAACGACTGTATAACACTGTGTGGTTTTATCGAATAAACTTATAGAAAATGGAAGCTGTTTATTCAGGCTTTATACTTTTAAGCCCGTTAGCTGTCAATAGAAGCATACAGAAAACCAACCCTTCTACTGTTTTGATCTTAAAGCAGTATGTAAAAGTAACATTTGAGTGAGTAAAAATAAAACAATATAAAAAGTAGGAATGACTTTATGAAATAGACAAAAAATAAATTCGTTTATCACCCACTTTTCAATTAATTGTAAACGTTCTGATGGTGAGTTGATTTCAGTTAGACTAGCCCATTCATCCCATTTTGCATCGATTAATAAATGACCAGGTATTTCACAGAAAAATCTCTAAAATGTAATAAAAGTTTTATAGAAATAAGAATAGATTAATAGACGATGCGTTTATGCTTGCTTTCTTCAGTAAGTTGTGATATTTTGTGGTGAGAGCTGTCTGCTAGCCAAAATTGGTAGACAGAAATTTACCTCAATGTTTATGTTTTACGTCTTTCGAATTTTTTTCCGTTAATACTGATCGGTGCTTCCTGATGTCGGTTGGTTGGTTATCTTCATCACGCAGGTTTTCTCTATGTCCACCTAAAGTCTTATCTTCGCTCCTTGTCCTGACAAATTCTTGGTTTTCTACTGTAAGTCTTCTAGTTTGTGTGACATTAGACATGAGTTGCCGACAAAATCCAGATCTCCTGCAGTTTTCTCATCAGACCAATATGTTCCTGTCTTCTGGCTACCAACAGTCTCCCGCACAATCCAGGCCACCACAATTAGGCATATCTTCGTGTGTGATAATAGGCAGTCTTGTCTTACTTCTCTCTCCATTTTGAACGCTTCGCTATGGCACTGCTATCTAGTAGTTGTTAAGTGAGGTTGATAAAGATTCCTGGGCATCGCACTCCAAAGTGTTGAAGTAGTTTCCAAATTACTTAGCGCTCAGAGCTGTTGAAGGTATTTTCAAAGTCGATAAAGATGAGGTAGAGGTTAAGCTGCTATTTTACGCTTTGTTCGGGGATGATGCGAAGAGTTACTATTTGACAAGAACATGATCTGCTTTGCTTGAATCCAGTCTGTCCCGGTCGGATATCTGGGTACAGTGCATCTCTCCAAGACGATTTATCTTAGTACCTATCCACACTAGTTATTATTCACCCATCAGTTGATAAACTGTGACCATACTCTAATTACAGTCTTCTAAATCACAAACCACATGATTAAGTTATGTTAACAATTTCCATTCCATCTTCAATCAGTAATGTTAACTTTCTGAAATGAATTCACACTTTAAATATATATATATTTTTTTCTTTGAAAAGTTTACAAAAATCACTTACTTTTAAAACACATGATGCTAAAATTGCATTACAATTGTTGGGTGTAATTGTCTGGATATTTTCGTCGACACGAGCTCTCATCAACTCAATCTGACTATGAACAGCTGTACGCCTAAATATCCCTTCAATATCCACTCCATTATAGTAGACAATTGCAAAGAGATTCTGAAATGTATATATATAAATATGAAACAAAAATAAGATAAAATATCTTCAACAAGAAAAATGATTTATTTAATTGAATTTCAGATTTTCCCGTCGATCGATTGGACCGAAGTGCTCGGCACATCAAGCTGGCGAGTCCCAAATCGGACGAAATGCGCATGCTGGATTCCACAGCTAGTAAAAATCCACCAATTAAGAAAAAAAGATGTCTTGAATTTGATAAAATGCTAGAGAAAAAACAATTGATTATTGCTAAAAATAAACCAGTAACTGTTTCTTTGACTAACAGAAGTGTTCGACTGACTGGCTGACTGAATTTCAGAACGTTGCATAAAAACAGCAGAAGTTTGGGTTGCCACACTCCCTCCATGTAGCACACAAAGGAAGACAAAAGAGGGACAAAAAGATATTCGAAAGAAGGATAATAAAGAAGGGAAGAGCAGTTATATGATGGAAGATTACGGTTTAGTGGATAGTAAGGTCATAAAGGGTGAATGTACCTGTATTATTGTGGCGAGTGCTACTGATAAGATTTATCAGTAGTACATAAACAGACGTTCATCGGCCGGCATAAAAAGCATCAAATCGCAGAGAGATGGATTCAATGTCAGAGAAAGCAAATAATAAAGTGTTGTGTAGTTATATGGGAGACGTGAAAGGAACACAAAGAAACACAATAAGAAGGAAGGCCAGAAGTACCACGAAACGAAGATTTGTGCAAATGGAGCGTTAAAGATAAGGTAAACATAATTTGGCTATTGATATAAGAATAAAACTTGGGCACTGTGGTAGAGTGTAATTCCATTACGGGTAAATTTTATTTTGATAAAGTCTCACAGTGTTATACAGTAATATTTACTGATGACGTTTCGAGCACAATTTATTGCTCATAATCATATCAAGGTAATCACACGACTTCCTGAATTCATTTATATAGTTCCATTGTTTTTCACTTGATTTTCACTTGATTTGATTGGTAGTATTATTTTCCATATTTCAGGTATGAGTGATGATTCATTCCTATTGCATGTGTTGGGTGTAGATTCGATGAACAAGGATTCAGTAATCAACCTCTCTCTCCACCTACCTAGATTACTTTTTAGAATTTTAACCCTCTCCCACCAGCCTATTGTGTGGTTGTGTGTTAATGCATGCATTCAAATTGCCGAGCTTTTTTCTAGATTACTTATCTTCTTTGGGTCAACCATTCTTACCTTAGCCACTAAATTCTTATGTTCTGACCATCTGACTACCCCTGACCTACTAGTTTGACCTATGCAGTTGACGTAATTCACAGTCATTGCAAGGTATTTTGTAAATTATATTATTTGCTTTTATTGGGTCCACCGAGTCCTTTGACCTACAGAGCTTGTCCTACCTGAGTGAGTTTGTAGGTTTAAATGCCACGCTAATTCCTGCTTTATTTAGAATCCTACGTAGGGTCTCAGATGTCCCCTCCTTATATGGTATTACAGTAGACGACTTATATTCTCTCTTATTTATGTTATTATTATTAGTTTCACAATTCTTTTTATTTTTCTTTTGGCGTTTTTCAATCTTCCTAATGAATTTTAGAGGATAGTTATTTAAAACCAACGCTTCTTCTATCTGTTTTATTTCATCGTTTAGGTCTTTTTTTGTGCTACTTAGTGCCTTTGCTCGGTTTGTTAAACACTTAACTAAGCCTGCCTTAACAGTTAAAGGATGAGATGAATTAAAGTCTAAATATCTATTAGAATGCGTTGGTTTTCTATAAACACTAGTTCTTAGTTTGCCTTCTTCTATTCGTTTTATTTTACAATCTAACATAGCTAATTCTCCTTGCTCATTTTCGGCTTCAAATGTGAATTTTGTTCCCTCCACTAGTGAGTTTATGCGTGTCAAGAAGCTAGAGATATGTTCTGTTTAACAAACCGAGCCATAGCACCAAATTAACTGTCAAAGATATCTTTGAATGATTCCGTGTTTCTTTTTGACCACTACTAGCTCTTTTCCGTCCTGATTCTATGTCAGTTAACACTGACCGTCAAATAAAACGATGTCTGGGTTTGTGTAAAACATGTTCTTACGATCTCAATCGCTGTGGCTTCGCAACCTCATTAACTGGCTTACTTTACTTACCTAAAACACACCACGCCTAAATTCAATATTATTCACTCTATTAAATCACCTAACATGGGATATAGAACACAGACAACTATGACGAAAGGTAGCTAGCGTTTTCATGTATAACAGCGTCAGTCATCCAGGCGTCAAATACCTGCAGGCCAGGCAGATGGTCGCCGTCAGATTCCCGATGTAACAGAGAATCCATCCATTGGAAACGAATGTGGAATGCAGAGATGGCTAGTTTTCATAGATGGATGCGTATCTGCAGGAAAACAAACCTGATTCACTCACTTTGCTTTAGGACAAGACATATTTGTAATTCTGACTGGGATGACACGGAAAATTCCTTTCTAAAATCTACTCTATCAATGTTACAATAGGAATTATTAAATAATTTAAATTTACCATGTGTCAATATACTACTATATACACCTTAACAGTAGGTAAACAAATAATCGAGAATTTTCGAGAGTATTACGAAGGTAAAATGTATATAAATGCTATTGTACAATTTTGAGGATGAAATCGCCGAGAAATTAGCTGTTCCTGAGTTTATCGTTTTTTCCTCACTAATTTACAGGCTAGCAAGATATGTTTAATCAACTGAATGCATAAGATGCACTAAAGTACTTCCAAAATGTATTTATACAGAAATAAACTGCAGTACTTTGTGTTATGTGTTTAACAGTACTCAACATTATTTAATAGCTCATTCTACTTGCTTCATTAAAACACGTTTCATCGATATTCTTCAATTGTGTGATTTCTTTAACACTTTCATGGTAAAAATTAAGCAGTGATTTCCAGATTTTTAGGTTTTCTACATTTCATGGAGGATCAATATTCCAGGTTCGATCACGAGCTAACTTCACAGTTAGAGAATCATTAGAACACTTGGGAGTACTGGAGGGCTGTCTCGTCCTTGTTTGGGGTTCCCACTAGTGTCCGAACCCGGGGAGTTCTGGTTACCAGGCATTCTTGTAGGCTGACTGAGTCACTAGAACCCGTGCCAATGGCCGGTGAATCCCAAATTCTGCCAATTCGCGATGTATATAAAGAGCATAACCCCCAGCCAGTGTCATGGGTGAGTAATTGTTCTCTTGCCAGACTTATTGGACTGCGATGGTTACCACTTCTCACTAGAACTTCAGGTGACTTGTTGTATAGAGTCAGTCACTAGTGAGCGTCAGATTATTATCAAGTGCTGGTTTGTAGGTATCTGATTGGTTAGATGTTCGCTCGTGAGTTGACACCTGTTCACATCCAGTATTTCCAGTGGTTCTCTAACTAATGTCAATTCATGATCCAATCTGTAACCAATCAAATCCCTGAAAACCTACACTCGAGAATGAGTATTAGTCAGAGGATAATTTTAAAAAGTTGTGGAGTACTGAATATCTGTCGCATTCTTCTATAGGACTCTTCAGCAGTCCCCAGTGTTGCTTTCACTAGACCCTAGAAATTCAGGTTACAATGTGGGCTGGTTAACCACCATGCCACTTGGTTGTGACCCTTGAATTCTGACTTCAATCAGTACGCAATATATCTTTACCGAGAAGTGGCAACAAATGAGCTAGGGAGTGACATTCATTAACTTCCAACCAAGTGGCTGAATGGACTATTCCTCGTAACCTGAGGATCCTAAGTTCGACCTCTTGGTGAAGTCATGGCTGTACGCACATACACATACACACCAAGACACACGCATACAATGTTACAGAAAGAAAGAAAGCAAAAAACAAGGCATTTAACTCACCACTAATGATTCTGGTAATTGTGAATCAGGCCATACTTGTTCCGGTAGACAACCAAATATTTGCCCACATTGTACATCTTGAGTTATACCCGACTGAAGAGAACTTGTACTGATTGCAGCTCGTAAAGGTAGGGAAGCTTGTTTCGCTGAACTGGTTGAATTGTCAAAAAATATACTTGATTTAGTCATAATATTAGTATTATTATTATTTCGTGAATCACCACCAGCCGCGCCGGCGCCGGCGCCGACGCCGCCGCCGCCAACACGTCGTCCATGCGCTCTAGACTTTGAACGTCCACGTTCTTGTTTAGTATATTCCACTGGTTTCATTGGATCCTCAGATTTTACAGCTTAATTAGTTGAATTGAGAAGTGAAAAGAATGTAAGAAAAGGTGAAAAGAAGACAATGGCAACATTTACTCCCTGTTTAAATATATGTATGTATATACATATAGACATTTAGTGAAAACATAGTGAAAGCATAAAACACACTTCTCAAATTACAGACTCACAATAACAGTCTCATTGATTCGCTGTATTGTTTCTGTTTAGTTTAGTTTAGTTTAGTATGTGTTTCTCTTGTTTCTGTTATACTTGTCGTCATGTAATTAATCCAACATCTTAAATACACGAATGACGTAATAATGATGGGTTCTTTTTCTGGTTTCAACCAACCTGGAGGCAGATAGCTTTGTGGTATATATTATTTATTATTTATTTATTGTTCCCTTGGGTTCCTAGTGGAACATAGGGCTTCAGCTGCACGTCTCCACTTGCTTCTGTCCTCTGCTGTACTTTTCACCTGCATCCATGTTAATCCATACTGTTTCAACTCCTCTTCACACGATCTTCTCCATGTCACTCTTGAACGTCCCACTCACCGCTTCCCTTTCGGGTTCCACTCGAGCTATGGCCTGACGCGCGATGTCACCCAGTGGCCCCCTCAGTGAGTGTCCAATCCCCATCTCCACTTTCTCCTGAATATTTTTTGAGCGATTGGTTCTTGTTTTGTTTGTTCCCATAGCTTCTTGTTTGTGATTCTTTCCGGCCATCTGATCTTCAGTATAGAGCGAAGACAGTTGTTGATAAAGGTCTGCAACAGGCTATTGGAAATATTCTTTGTTACCCGCCAAGTTTCTGATCCGTATAGAAGAACTGACTGACTTGACGTTTGTATTGAAAATCCGAATTTCGTTGTTGATGCAAGCTGAGTGACGAAGATTTCCAGATTGTTTTCAGGTTGATGAATGTGTTTCTCGCCTTCCCGATTCTCGATTTGACATCCTCGTCCGTTCCTCCTGTAGTTGAGACAATTCTTTATATATATATGCTTTTGATGGATTGTTATGTATAGTTGGGAACCACTCATTCCAAAACACTCGTAGTGCTTTCCAAAACCTCTTTGAAGTGATTTAAACTGCAGACAGCCGTTTTGCTGGGCTCAGGGTCAATCTCAGGCAGCTTAATCACTTGAAACCACCGGAGTTCTGGTTAGCTGAATTGAGTGAATGCAAGTGAAATTTCTAGCCCAACTTCATTCTCTTTGAAAGGGTATTTTTCTTCCTGGTGAACGCGAATTAATTTAGAGACTATTTCAACACTGTGGAATGTGCTGCAGAGGAATCTTTATCAACCTTAATCACTGTGGCTATATGACAATGCCAGGTGTCAAATGATCCGTAGTGGAAAACTCAAAGAGGCATTTGAAGTGAGGACAATAAGGAGTAAAACAAGACTGTCTGCTCACTATTCACCCACGGTGATTATGCGTAGGGAGCGAGAAGACAGCCTCTGGAAAACCTGGACTTCACGCATGATTTATGTCTAGTGTTACGTAAATTTGAAGGCTTACAGGCGAAAACCAAGAAGTTATCTGAAGAAGCAGGCAGATCAACCAACAACGAGCACCAATCAGTATCAAGGGGGGAAAAATTCGAAAGAGGTCACTCCCTCAATTATCTACGCAGCATCATTTCAACTACAGGCACTCAGGACGGCTAAGGATGTCGAAACTAGCCAGAATTAGAAAGGCAAGACAGTCACCTTCAACATTCTGAAATCAGTTCAGAAACCTACTTAAATCAGAGGAAAGAACTAAATTCCGATTTTCGGTTCTTCTACATGGGTCATAAGCATGGCAGTCACGTCATGGAAAGGCTTTCCAACAGGCTGCTGAAGACTTTTATCAACATCTGTCTCCTTCTCTGGCTCCATACTGAAGGTCGGATAGCAGGCTAGAAGGAGTGGGCGACAAGAAACTATGGGGAAGAACCATTTCAGAAACTATTGCCTCATAGATATTTAGAAGAAACTGGATGTGAATCAAACACACTCTGAGGAGTCCGTTCAATTATATCACGCGCCAGGCTATCTACATAGTGGAACTACAATATACAATTTATCCAAAGAATTATACAGAAAATTGAAACATCTAACGGATTCCTGCGATCACTCCATCAATTCTGTTATCCGATTTCTAGAGAAAGTCAGAGGCATTCAAATAGATGATCAAGAAATAATGATATCCTTTGACGTCACAGCATTATGCACCTCAATTGGACAAGAACTAGCAAGAGAGACCATAGAGCAATTACTCAGCAATGACGAACACCTCCCACAACAATCAAAAAGGCAACACACAAGTTGGATGGAATGGATAAACCTACGCCTGACAACGTACTTCCAATTCAACGGCCAAATATATGAACAAGTTAAAGGAACACTCATGGGATCGCCAATATCAGGTTTGATTGCAGAAGCAGGCTCGAAAACATAATCCTATCAAAGATCAAACCCAACATTTGGATACGTTACGGAGATGACACATTTGTAATCATCAAAAGAAACGAGTTGGATAAAACTCAAAACTTAATCAACAACGTCTTCAACGACATCAAATTCACAAGAGAAGAGGAATCCGAGAACGAAATCCCATTTTTGAACGTCTTAGTCAAGCGAACAACCACAAGGAAATTAGAAACTCAAGTTTATAGAAAATCAACTCACGAGGACCAAATACTGAATTACAACAGCAACAATCTAATAACACACGAAAGGAATTGTATACAAACACTCACTGCATTACTCCTAACTTAAAGAAAACTGAAGAAAGATATCTGATGGAGGTCTTCCAAAATAATGGATATCCACAGAATTTCATCAAAAGACACAAACCCTTCAAGAAAACCTACCAAATCAAAGGTCCCCAAGGAAAGAACGAAGAAAATCGCCCTATCATATATAAAATACATCTCAGAAATCACTGCAAGACTCTTCAAACCTTTAGGAATTGACGTCGCACACAAACCAACAAAATCACTTCACTCAGCTGACTCTGTGTCAACCAAAAGACTCAACAACGAAAGAAGATAAAACCAACATCATCTACAAAATAAGTTTAAACGACTGAGAAGACACTACATTGGCCAAAGTGGACGACGTCCCCTTCGTCATCGTATCCATGAACATAAGCTAGTCGTCAAAAGACATGACATCCACTCCCTCATATCGCCACCCTGCATACAGACAACCACGGACATCAATTCGACTGGGACAACGTTCAAAAATTAGACAGAGGAAACACCAATCATACTAGAGAGGTTTTAGAAGCCTGATATTCCAGTGAATCGTCAATCAATAGACACATCGATGTAGACAATAATTCACCAGTTGAAAAGAAAGAAATCACACACACAAGAGATCAAATTTCAAGTCAGGGAAACAATCAACACCAATACGAATACGAATAGCCTAGAAGGTGTGAAAGTACACAAGAACAACTAAAGAGTCACGTTCAAGTACCCCCACCAATAGAGATGACTAATAAACTCGGGGGGGAGGGAGGAATCTAAAAACTCACTTCAACAAACTGAAGTGTATGAGCTGAAGATGTTGCCTCGTAGGCCAATGAAAGCTTAGCAAATAAACCATCCAGCTTGCTTAGAGAACACAACTACATCAAAATAGAGGAACCCGAATGAGTTCGTTGAGTTAACTGAAAGAAGGATTTTGTACATCCCTATTTTAAATACCTGCCATGCTCTCTAACTGTTTCATATAGACGTTAAAGGGTCATATGCAATCAAATGATGAGTGTGCTCTTCAGTATTCGATAAGAAAGTCAGGAGGTTGGGTTAAGTAGGGAAATAAAATTTACTAAGACTCTTAGGAGGCATTTTCAGCGTTCAAGAGTACGACAGAAATGTCTTCTTTGGTGAGTTACTGCCTCATCTTCACAACCTGCTGCACCCTACCGGTCACGGCCTCCCACTAGAACCCCAGGTAACTGCCTGAATAAGGCCAGTCTCTAGTGAGCATCAGGTCAATTTTCAAGTATTGGTTTTGTAGGGATTTTGTTTGACTGGTTGGAGGATTTCATCATTAGTGGTCACGCTATGTCATGAATTGGCAGAAGTTAAAATTCATGGGTTGGCCATTGGATCGAGTCCAGGTGGCTTAATGGTCTACGAGCCAGCTCGCATTGTAGCCAGAAGGTCCTATGTCTGAACCCTAGTGGGTACGTACTGCTTTAAGAGTTCAAAACTAGGAGGGAGTAACTACTACTCAGTACTCCATGATTTTTCCAATGATTCTCTAACTGATGTTGACTTTTGAACTCTAACTTGAAATCGCTCAATTCGCTAACTGAAATAGATATGAAATTATTAATCACTTTTGAAAATAAAGAATTTTTTTATCACTTTGATTACCACTATGGCTGTTCTCTTCATTCAAGCTTTTCTCCATTGAACGTAGGACAAAATTAACTTTAATTTGATCTCTTGGTATAATACAATCATTATCATTGGCACGAATATCAGACTGTGGAGAAGGTGACATCTTTTTGATTATCTCAAAAATATCTTTATTTTGAGGACTATAGTTATTCGTGTCAGGACTATTCACACTACAACTGCTGCTATTGTGTACTGAGTAGCTGTTGTTGTTGCTGCCGTTGCTGTTCTGATGATGTGAAGGCGAACTGGCACTGTTCATTTGAACACTGGAAAATGCGATTAAAAAGGGACGTTCTGGACCTAAAAATTTACAGAAATGAGAGAAATATACATTCAGTAATATCGGCGCATAAACAACATAATTTGGGTTTTCAAAACCAGTGTTAAGTCAGTCAGTTCTTCTGTATGGGTTAAAAAACTGTCACGTTAGCAGGAGCATTTCCAACAAGCCACTGAAGACTTTTATCACATGGCCAACCAGAAAGGATCGCACACAAGCAACCATGGTGACAGAACAACCAACAACCTATTGCTCAACAAATGTGGGGAGGAAAATAGAGATCTATAGGATATGCACTGAGGAGACTGTCGGGGGACATCATGCACCAAGCCATCGCTCATGTGGAATCTGGATAGGTAACGACGAGTTGGGCACAGGTCCGAGGATGACATGGAGGAGATGAGAGATTATGGGGAATCATGAGGCCAGCTGAAGAGGAGTGCAGAGAACAGGATGGAATGAAGATGTGCGCTGTTGAAGCCCAGGCTCCACTCAGAACCAAAGGGAATGATAAAAATAATAGCAGATCACCCCCACTCTCTCTCTTATAGAACTTTCGATTACATTGTACAAGAATAAACTCCAGTTGTTAGATTACGGACTATTATGTGTTAACCTCTCTTGTCCCATAACTATACGCTTTAAGCTAAAATAATTTTGAGGTGTTTTCTATTCTTTTTTACATTTTGATAACTTATATCATTTTGGGATGTTCGCAGCTGATGAAAAGCTGTGAAAAGGTGGAAACATATGAGCTCTACCTATCCCTAAAATATGTGATTTCTAACTAAATGGATCAACTCTTTGTCATTTTGATCTCATCCAAATATGGTTAGACTATGAAAAACGAATAGTTGAGTTGAGTATACCTCTTTGCCTGGATTATCTACTCAACATGACTGGCTGATTTAAGCGATGAGGTTCTAATATCATTCGAATTCTGTATTTTTTCCATGCCTAGGTTTCTAATTCAAGTCACATTTGATATCTATTTTGACTCTAATAGAATTCGTTGTTCTTCTGGCCTTCAATAACTACCCGGTATATGGCATAAATGCGATGGTAGCACAGCGGTAGAGCGCTCGCCGACCACGCAGTTGGTCCGGGGTTCAATCCCCAACTGACTCTCTCCTTTACCTCGATAAGCCAGTGATAAGACCGGTAACGAGGGAAGGTTGGGCATGAGGTTAGCAACCCCATCCTGTAAAAATAATCACCACTGCTGCAGAAACTTCAAGCCTCTAGCCTGAAGCCCTATGTTCCACTGGGAACGTAAAGGAATATAAAAAATATGGCATACACCTTAGTATTCACACTGTCTAGAAAATCTTCCGAATAACAGCCAATGCATATAAATACTAATCAATCACAAACAAAACATCGTGGTGCTTGTTGGCACTCGTCAGCAAGGCGCAACTACAATCATTAAGGAACTCATATCCCCTTTTGAGACTCGAACCCGTGTCACACAGAGCTGCAACCAGAGACATTATCTAGTTTCAAGGCTTCTTACTGATTGCCTCCAACCATTTAATATTGTATATCCCTATACTTTGTGTAATTTTTGACTAACATTAGCCTCTGTAATCTTATAATGGATATATATTTTTGGGGTGGTCATGAACTTGTGGAGCATTTTATATTTTCCTCTCTTCGCGAAGGCCGGACTCTCTCATTGGTTAATCGACTCTAAAAAACTTATTGGTAAATTCTAGTATTTTTCAAGGAAGGTCATTTAAAACATTGGTTCAGCGTCACTTTCAAATGATACAGGAAAAGAGCTCTCCTTTGTCACTAAAACATTGGGCTTCAACAACACAACTCCGCTTTGTTCTATTTCATGCAGTTCTCTTCAGCTTACCCAACGATTCCGCATAATCTCTCATCTCCTCCTCCCCGCCAAACAATCTCCTCCACGTCACCCTCGCACCAATAACCCAATCGTCGCTTCCCATTCGGATTCCACTTGAGAGATAGCTTGCATTGCGTGCGATGTCATCCGACGGCCTCCTCAACGTATGGCCGATCCATCCATCTCCATTTTCTCCTATACATGTGTTGAGCAGTCGGCTCCTCGTTGGTTTGTTCCCAGCCAGAGTCTCTTGTTGTTAGTTCTTTCCGGCCGGACTACTGGCCATCTGATCTTCAGTATGAAGTCAGCCAGCGACGTGGACAGATGTCGATAAAAGTCCTCAGTAGACTGTTGGAAATCCTCTTCGTGACATTCACACAGTGCAAGTTTCTGACCCGTACAAAATAGCTGACTGACTAATGGATTTCACTGACATTTGTGTTGAAAATCCGAATCCATCTTCTTCTTTATGCTGGCTGGTTGAGGGGAGTAGAATATTTCCAAACTGGTTTCAGGTTGATGAAGGTGTATCTTGCCTTTCCAAATCTGGCTGGCTGGCTGACTGGCTTTGACATCTTCATCCGTTCCACCTACCTGTGGTTAAAACCGTGCTTCCTAACCAGATAAGTGAAGGGAGGAAGTGACCTCTGTCAAATCTCTCCCGTTGGTGGTGATCCATGCTGATTGTTGTTGTTAGTGGTTGATTGGCTATATTCATCACCTCCGTCTTCTCTATGTTCACTTGGAGTCCTGTCTTCTCTGCCAGCCTCTTCTGCTAGTTTTCACCTGCAAGTCTTGGAGTTTGTGCGATACTGCGCATAAATCATCCACACGTGAAATCCAGATCTTCTAGAGTTTTCTTATCATCACATAAAAAGTGTGTTCTAATCCATTGGTAATTTATCAGGTTCGAAAGAACCACAGAATAATAAAAAACGAGCTAATATTATCCTGGTGAAAATCTGTTGTTCTCTGTATCACGTTTGACCATGGACTGATGTCAGTTAGAGTACCATTGGCTGGTCGTCACGCTAAAATAACGAAGTGGTAGAATTTATAATTCATGATCCATTGATTTGGGTCCCAGTGACTGCATTGTCAATGTGGTCTCCTTGTAACCGGAAGGTTGTTGGTTAGAATCTCAGTCGGCGCATACTGATGAAGAGCTCCAATCTAGGACAAAATAGCTATCCATTACTCCTTGGTTTCCCCTAACTTATATCAATCGGTGGACAAACTTGGAAAAAAAAATCCAATTCCTACAAATCAACTCTCGGAAATTTGTCGTTCTTCTTTTACTCATGTATAACCAATGTATCGATTAGTTTATAAATTACTATGCATTATAAGTGTGTGTGTGTGTGTAAACAATTGCCAGTCTTATGCTCATTGGTCACATTTAAGTGTAAGATTTACTTCTAAAATTTCAAAGTATGCTTGTCTCATGACTCGTTCGTTGAATGCGTGTGTGCATGTGTAAATATGTATGTATGTATGCTTGTGAGTGTGTGTGTGCATATTCGAGAGCTTGTTCGACCCACTTCATTTATATGATAAATTCACAACTAAATCATACTTTAGTAGCGGAAGACAATGTGAAATTTAAGTATAACATAAAAGTAGTTTCGGTGATTTTCAAAAATTTACCTAAATTAACTGATGTAGGAAGTTTGAAAAATGCTCTAAAACCATCACATTTGAAAATAAATCCACTACGCGGATATACAAGAAGGGAGACAAGTCTTCCTGACCAATATAGTATATGAAGTTCTAGGTGCAATGTTCATGCATGGACTAAGCAGTGCTTGAAAGGAGCAAACACGAGAGAATTAGGCAGGCTTTAGACCAGAAAGAGGATGTATTGATCATTTCTTCACCCTTCGACAGATTCTGTATCATAGGCATACTTACCGGTGTCCAACAGTCGTTATGTTTCTTGGCCTAGAGGTGACATTTTATTCTGTCGACCGAGAGGTATTCTGGCGATGTTTGGCTGTGAAAGGAATACCCAGAAAACACATCGCCCAGATCAAGGCACTCTACTCGAACTCATGCAGCCAGGTAAGAGCTTATGGCGAGTTGTCATCTGACAGTTGTGGTGACAACCAGTGGTGTCCGTCTGGGATGCCCACTATTCTCATTTCTGTTTAACTTCATCCTAGATGTACTGATGAACTTAATCCTAACTGACTTAAGCGACTCATGGATTGACCAGGGAATAATCTCGTTGACTTGGAATAGGCAGATGATATAGTCCTCTCTTAGTGAGGTGAAGACACTGACGAAATGCAGCAGTCTTCTGAATACCTTTAAGAGCAGCAATTTTTCAGTGTTTGAAATGCGATTCGCTCACGTCAAATGTAAGATGATGCTACAAGACTAGTCCGAATCGACTCTTAGTGAAAAGATAAGGGGTGAAGTGGTGGAGCGTGTTGACCACTTCACTTATATGGGGAGTTGCGTCAGCCAGCCCAGCGGTTTGATCGCTAATGAAATCTCAGAGCAGATACAGAAGGCTTGTTTAGCATTTGCCTGACAACCTACGCCATCTGTCACTTAGTAGACGTGATATCTGACTGTCAACCAAAGGATATATGTTCTGTAGATCAGTTCCCCTGTTTCTTCCCTTATAACTATGAGACATGACCACTGAAAGTGGAAGACACGTAAAGACTAGCTAGCTGGCTTTGACCATCGGTGTCTGCGTTCTATCTCCTGTGGTAAGGGGTATTATAAGGTGAGCAATACTGAAGTTAGGCGTCGAGTGGTAGGTAAGGAGGGGAAATCAATCGACGAAGCTGTGAAGTTACATCGACTGAGGTAGTTAGGACATGTGTTATGTATGCCTCGCCACCGCCTTTATCGACGTTCAAATGTTAGCTGACACAGGATCAGGTTGGAAAACAGCCAGTGGTGGTCAAACCAAAACATGGCTTCATCAGTCAATGAAATCCACAACAGTTAGTTTAAGCCAGTCACGTAGGCAGGTGTAGACTTCCTGGTTGGGGTCCTCAAGATGGTAATAACCAATGACGGCTTGAGACAATTGATGATATGGCTTAAAATCATTCTTAACGGCCAGCGCAGATGCATTCACTCTTTGTGATTTTTCATATCCAATAAAATTCTATTGTTCTTCCGTATTACTATTCATTTTGCCTCATATTTCTGTCTGTTACATCTCTCTCTTTTAAAATCTCTCTTTATAGTCTTCTCTTACTTTGTTTGCTACATGGAGAAAGTGTGGCAACTCAAACTGCTGCACATCGATGCAAAGTTCTACGTTGAAACCAGTCAGTCAGTCAGTCAATCCACGGCTTATAAATGACTAAATACGCGATGGAGTTCTAATTAGCAGCCATGCCCGTTGATGGACACCAAGTCAGAGTGTGAGGGTAGATACTTGTTGATGCCAATGTTTATTGATAGCAGAAGTCATGCACCACTGGATTCCATCCCAGTGGCTATATGGCCAACGGATTAAGGTTTCGCTCCAAATGTCTTAGGTTCAACCTCTGTTTAGGGGTTACGACTGAGCACTCTTAAAGTGTCTGAGACTAGGACGAAGGAGCTGTTCATTGCTTGTTGTCTTTCAATGATAACCTAACTGTTATCGGTTCTTGAGGAAATCTTACTTCAACACTTATTTATTCGAATAGACGAGAGTGTAAAAATCTCTATATGTGGAAAGCAAAATGCACGTTTGATTCTAATTAATTTTTTTAATTTTTAATTTAATTTTTGTTTACAGCTTGATTCCACACAGTACTTTTGGTAGAAGTATGGAATTTTCAGCATGGATATCGGTTACCCAAATTTTACAGGCCGACCATAGATATCGGGTGTGCGTCGGCAGGTAATCGAACCTCGGACCATGTGCATGGTCGGCGGGAGTCCTAACCACTGTGCTACCGAGCTGATATCAGTTACAGAACCACCTGAAACCAACAGGGAGTGCTGGATAGCTGGTTCGTCCTAGCTTGTGACTTTTTATCAGTACACACATTACATCCAGGGTTTGAATCTATAAAGTTACCTGGACTTCTAGTGGGAAGTCCATCAATTCAGTCTGTAGAACAGTTACTCGCAGATGACACTGACTGGTGGTAGCGCCATGTATATTCATCGGGAATTGACAGAAGTTGAATTTTGTGGGCCATTGGATCGGACCCCACTGGCTAAATGTTCTCAGAGCTTGTCCTGGGTTCGAACACCGGTGGGTGCATCCTGCTGAGACAGCCCAAACGAAGGTGGAACAGCTGTCCAATACTGTTAATATATATGTGTAAAACTTGGGCACTGTGGTAGTAAGTAATTCCATATTAGTTTGTTCATTCGATGCATCACTCAGTGAAACAGTATTATTTGCTGGATCACGAAGTTTCGAACAAAATTTATTACTGTTCATAATCATATCATCAATTATAATCACACGACTTCGAAACTTGAGGTTTATAGTTTTCTTTGTTCTCTCCTATTTGTCGTCGTTGGGGTTGTAGAATGTTCCAGATATCTGCCTGGACAGGTGTCGAATCACTCCTGTTACATGTATTTGCAGTTGATTCGATAAACAAAGCTTCCGTTATCAATCTCTCCCTCCACCCTGTGACATTAGATTTTAAAACTGTCAGCCTTTCCTATCCTATTGTATGGCTGTGTGTAATTGCATGTAGTGAGTGGTATAGCTGAACTATTCTCCAAATTTCTTGTCTTATTCGGGTCAACTAATCTAGATTTTGCCGCTAGGTTTTTATGTTCAGCTAGTCTGACTGACTGCCCCTGTTCTACTAGTTTGACCCGTGTATTTGAACTTACAATCATTGCAGGCAGGGTATTAGATAAACTAAATTGTTTTGTCTTAAAGGCTTCACAGGATCCACCATTTAACCGACAAAGCTTGTTTCTAATTGAGTTTGTGTGTTTGAATGCCAGCCATTTTTATTCCTGCCTTGTTAAGAATTCTGCGTAAGGCTTCCGAGGTTCCTTCATTGTGTGGAATTACTACTGTTGATTTAGATTCCTTATTGTTGGTGTTGTCATTATCCTGTGCATATTCGACATGCATTTTGTCATTAATATTATTATTATTTCTATCACTATCACTACTATCATTATTTATCTTATTTTTACATTTCCATACAAATTTCCTGAGTAATTCATCAGGGTAATTATTAAGTCTCAAAGCTTCTCTTATATGCCTCACTTGCTGCCTTAGGTTTTCCTTGGTCCTACTTAGTTTTTGTGCTCTGTCACTTAAACATTTCACCAATCCTATTTTCACAGACACTGGATGGGATGATCTGAAGTCCAGATATCTGTTTGAATGTGCGGATTTCTTGTAAACACTAGCGTGTTTCAACTTCCCATCTTCTTTCCTTTTTACACTGCAATCTAACATGGCCAGTTACTGTTTCACTGTGTGATATATCTAATAAACAAACTAATATGTCCAATACTATCTCAATGGGATTCCCAATGGTTCTCTCTCTCTCCAACTTATATCACCTTATGACCAACCCTGTGACCAATCAAATCGCTGCATCAAGGGAAGCACTTGATGAAAAGAAAAAGAAAATTTCTGTTCAGCAGTTAAACCAATTACAACACTTACCATACATTAATATTTCACGGTCTTCTCCATTAGATTCTGTATACCGTAAAAATAGTTCAGCAGTTGTGTTACCCTTTAAATAACAATAATAATAGCAATAATAATAATAACAGTAAAGATCATTTCAATTTGAATTTGTCCTTAGAGTTAAAAGTAATTAATATATATGAACAAGAAAAACAGCAGGAAAATGATCTCATCATAAAGAGAAAAAAAACAAATTCAAAAACCTTTTGTTTTTTTAATTCAATTTTAATTTGAAACGATGCATACTGGGTCCCACTGAGTCCCACTGAGAACGCCATGAACACCGCTCCCCGGGAATACAAGTACATCCACCTGTTGACGAGTCTGCAAATGGCACGAAGTGTAAGATGACTTTCGCATTTATCAATTTTCAAACTAACTTTTATTTCACTACATTAAGTTGAACAGTGTTCTATCGGGTGGCATGGATGAGGATGTTGAAGCCAGGTTGCGAAAGGCAAGACAGACTTTCTTCCCCCTGAAATCAGTATACTGCACTTCACATGAAGAATAAAATTCGGATTTTCAACACTAATGTTAAATCAAACAGCTCTTCATTATGGAACAGAAACTTAACGCGTCGCTAAGGGCATTTCCAATAGGCTAGCAACAGCTACCTACACTGGCTCCCCGGTGAAGATAAGATAGCTGACCAGAAATGATAAGCAACAAGGAACAGCCTCCAAAGCCTCAGGATAGTCGGGGTGGGTGCCTTGCGCTGCGGGTTGGCCACCCCTCCGCACATCTCTTGAAATACTCCCATATGACCGGGCGTCTTACATAGACTCTCCTGAGGAATTCCTACTCACTGCCTTCACGTGGCGGAGGTGTTTTTCACCAAAGTGAGAGGGTGAAAGCGGATGCTTGGCGCTCTTCACCGGGTTGACTGTCCATTGGATTACAGTCTAGGGGAGATGGCTAAACCCTGATTCCAAACCTCAAACGACTGGCGTGTGAAGCTCACTGGAGCTCACCGGCAGACGTATGGACAAAGGGCTTGTTGGATGTCCTGGATGTCTGGCCCCATTCAAAAAGGCGTATGAACTGAACTCCGGTCACCGGCTGCCAATGGATAGTGGACTCCCTACTCCACTCCTACTGCCTTGTAGGTCACACTTGGTTGTGTAAAGGCTAGAGCTGCACTCTCAAACAAAAGGCCGAGCGGTTCTGAGGACATCACTCGTACCAAATTCCCATGAAACTTCATGAACTCTCTTCATCAGATCGCCGCGCCTGGGCAGCGATGATTCGAGATGTTAATGAAACCGGCTCATCCTCCCGTAGGAGATAGCCGAAGTAAAGTAAAGTAAGTAACAAGGAACAGATGTGATGTAGGAAATAGAAATGGATCAAGCATACGTTGAGGAGAACGATGAGTGACCTCGAGTGCCTGGTCATCGCTCCAGTGGAACCCAAATGAGAAACTAAGAGTTGGGCTAGGGTCTGAGGCTGGTTAAATCTTGGCTATCATGTGAGAAGGAGATGACAGCTCATGGACAGGAAATGTGCGATTAGATGAAGAGGACTGCAAGGCACAAGATGAAATGAAGGTATATTGTTGAAGCCTTATGTTCCACCCGGAACCTAAGGGAATAATAATAATCAGTGACTAAGTGTATCTTAGTATCCAAATGACATCTCTTCCCATAGCTATTAAATAATCAGGTTTATCAACAGTTCACTTCTACGAAAATTCTCGAAAACCATTCATTAATGGTTAGGCAAGGGACCAACTAAAGCGATATATATATATATATACATATAAACGAGCTGACTTTATTGATAAGGGAAACATTAACAGAGTATCTGAACTTATTCACAAATTGTATTGTTATCTCACCTTCCTCACGCTCCACAAATTCAAATTTTTTCGTACTTCAGATAAATCTGAATTATTCAAGTATTGGTTTGTAGGGATTTGATTGGTTACAGGATTTTCATCATGAGCTGACATTAGTTAGAGAACCATTGGAAAACCTGCCAGGGATTACTGGACAGCTGTTCCTTCAGCATAGTTCGAGACTCTTCGGCAGTACGCATCCACCGCCACGGTTCGACTCAAGGACCTTCCGGTTACAAGGCGAGCTCGCAGACCATTAAGCCACTGGGAGCCGAACCAATGGCTAGTGCATGAATTCTAACTTCTGCCAATTCACGACATAGCGTGACCGCCAGTCAATGCCTTCGGCGAGTATTTGTCCAGGTAGGTAGTTACCTGGGGTTCTAGTGAGAGGTCGTGACCAGTAGGGTGCAGCAGGTTCGGTGTGAGGACAAATACTCGCCGAAGACATTGGCTAGCGGTCGCGCTATATCGTGAATTGGCAGAAGTTAGAATTCATGGGCTGGCCATTGGATCGAGTACCAGTGGCTTAATGATCTATGGGCTAGCCTTGTAACCGGAGGGTCCTGGGTTTGAACCCGGTGGGTGCGTACTGATGAAGAGTCCCAAACTAGGCTGACGAAACAGCTGTCCAGTAATCCCTGGCAGGTTTTCCAATGGCTTTCTAACTGACGTCAGCTCATGATGAAATCTGAATTAATCCTTGTAGCCTTTTGTCTTTCGCTATTATCTACAAAATATGTAAAGAGTGTTACAGAGGAACATCCCTATTCTTTCAATTAAACTTTTTTCATCGATTTCTTTAATAACTGGCTGCTAACGAATTCATTCGCCGATTCTACTTAATTATCACTATCTTCCGAATTATTGATTATGTAATAAGCAAGTGTTGGTTTACAGGGATTTGGTTGGTGTCACGTTTGATCACGAATTCACTTCACTTATAGAACTTTTGAAAACGAATAAGCGGGGGGTAGGTGGGTTATGGATAACTGTTTCGGCCTTGTTTGGGACTCTTAAGCAGCACGCACCAATGACTCTTCCTGAAAGGTATCAATCAAACTTTGGACCTTCAGGTTGCAAGGTGAGCTCATTGACCATTAGGACGGAATCCAATCCGAGCATCAATTCTAACTTGTGTCAGTTCATGAAGAGTCCCAAGCAAGGACAAAACAGCCCATTTCAGTGATGCCCTAACTGAATTGAATTCGTGACGAGTCTTGATTATGTAATAACTTGTTACCGAGGTTTAAAATTTAATTGCAGTATTGTATTAGACGGTATTATCCCTCAGATATTATCATGACTTGTATAATTAATTCCAGCTTCTTCTCCTAAACACCCATTTTAGTTGTTATTTCATATATATTTTCCCAAAAGTCATAGTGTGGTGAGTGCTACTGATAAGATTTATCAGTAGTATATAAACAGATGTCCATCGGCCAGCATATAACAATCAAATAGCAGGGAGATACATTTGATGTCAGAGAAGGCAAAGGATGCAGCGTTGCAGAGTTACATGGGAGACGTGAACTGAATACAAAGAAAGATAATATGAAGGAAGTCGAACAGTAGCAGCACAACACGGAAGATCTTTTTCAAATGGTGCATGCATTAAAGATAAGAAGTTGTAGATAATTCGGCTATTATATATATATATATATATATATATATATATATATATAGAGAGAGAGAGAGAGAGAGAGAGAGAGAGCGAGAGAGATACCGAATTGCAAATAAACATTCCTTTAACCAAGTGTGTGTCTCTTGTCTTCTACCACACACACACACACACACACACACACACGGATTTGTCGTTGTAATAGATATATGAAATTAATAAAGAGTTAAGAGGTGTGGGGAAATATATTTAGGTCAAGTTAAAAGGACATATTGAAGATCCAGGTAACAATGAAGATCACTAAACCAAATAACAGAGGGAATAGTACATCTACTGATATCAATCCGTGATCACCTCGTAAAAACCTAACTAATCCTTATATACCAACTCTTGAAAATTAATATGATGCTTGCTAGTGAGTGGCCACAGAACGCAGTTTCCTGGAGTTCTAGACGTTCATCCCTCGGCATAAAATAACATCAAACAGCAGGGAGATAGATTTGATATCAGAGAAAGCAAATGATTCAGCGTTGCGCGGAGATACATGGGAGACGTGAAAAGAACACAAAGAAACACAATAAGAAGGAAGGGCAGAAGCAGCATAACACAGAAGATCTGTGCAAATGGTGCGTTGAACATAAGGTATACATAATTTGGCTATACAGAGATACCAAGTCCTAAATAAACATTGCATTACCAAGTCTTATTTCTTCTGCGGTTTCAATAAGAAGAGTATTTTTCTGACGACTTCATTTCCAATAATCTGTACAGCCGCATTTATATATGACCATTTTTCACAAAAGAGATTATTTCTCATTAACACAGTTGCTGATGTTAATCAATCCGTAAGGCAAGTTGAAAACAGTTGATAGATAGATTTTCACGTAGTGAGATAAATCATCTAACGAATGAGTTGTAATCAAGATGCACATAGAAACAAAGGAGCCAAAAAGAGTAAAGGAAAACAAAAATAGATTCGAAAACAAAAACTGGGTCACAACCGTGATAGTAGAATCAGAAAAACAATTGTCTTTTGTAAGCAGGACTCAGATTTCCATACATATATGAGTAGTTAAAGCTTTGACAATACAGAGGAGGCGAAAGTCTAGTGTTTTTTCGTGACAGACTGCTGTTCACTTCATAGATTTTTTTGTGAAGGAGGATTTGTGTTGAGAAAGAGTGACGCCAATGCACTCCTTATACAACCACTGTTATAGTTTCTGCATACATGCATGATAGTGTTCTTTAGCCCTTTTAGACACGACACGCATCTAACGATTAGCATACCTGGCTACTTTTTTTGTTAAAAAAGAAACTGCATATAAATGCGATTGGACAGCTAAAGAAAGTGAAATTGTCGTAAAAAGCCTCTTCTTCAAACTACTTATTTTGTTGTTTTCTTTCTTCATTAATGCTTTGATGGAGATTATTCAGGTGTTGGAAGCCATATATTAGTGTACAGCCATTTATGAGCTGTTCTATTTTCATGATGTTTACATGGGAAGTTTAAATTTACTAAGAAGTAGTCAAAACATCTTATCTAACATTCTCATTAGAAAATTCAAGTTCTCTAATAACATTACAT